TTACTATTGTAATTGTTTTGGGGTGTCACAAACACCCATATTAGCTGGTAAACTTAAGATTGTGTGTATTCTGACTGCTCCACTGACCAGCTATCTCTCACCCTTTCCTGAGGCCTCGCTATTCCCTGAAACACAATATTAAAATTAGGCCAATTAATAACAGTCCTACCAGTTGGCTGGGTCCAAGTAAGAGAATCACGATCTCACCTTTGGGCTGTGTCAAGAAATAAGAGTCACAATCCCACCTGACGGCTCCATATAGGCTGGAGAGACACAATCTTTTCTGTGACCCTTGTCCATGTATGAGTTTCACAATCTTACCTGTTGATTAGGTCCAGATATTAGAGTCAACATCTGTCCTGTTGGCTGGGTCCAGGGAAAGGAATAACAATTTTACCTTTGGGCTGGGTCCAGAAATGAGAATCACAATCCCTCCTGTGAGACTGGTGTTACTGTGGGAACACTTCTAAGTGTGCATGTGAAAGGAAGAGTTGCTTGTCCCTCACTTTAAATCAAAACCTAGAAAGAATTAACCTTAATGAGAAGACATGTTGAAGCTGAGATAGGCTGAAAGCTAGGCTTCTTGGGTCAAATAGTTAGCCAGCTTGTAGATGCTAAGAAAATGTTCTTGGAGGAAATTGAAAGTGACGCTCTAGTGAACACTTGAATGATAAGAATGCAAAACCGACTTACTGCTATGGGGAAAGTTTGAAAGATCTAGATAGATCAAACCAGCCACAACATTCCCTTAAACCAAAGCCTAATCCTGAGCAAGGCTCTAACTCTCTTCAATTCTATGAAGGCTGAGGGAAGTGAGGAAGCTGCAAAAGAGAAATCTGAAGCTAGCAGAGGCGGGTTCATGAGGTTTAAGGAAAGAATCCATTTCCATAACATGAAAATGCAAGGTGAGGCAGCAAGTGCTGATAGAGAAGCTGCAGCCAGTTAACCAGAAGATCTGGATGAAGGTGGCTACACTGAACAATGGATTTGCAATGGAGACAAAAGAGCCTTCTGCTGAAGAAGATGACATCTTGGACTTTCATAGCTGAAGAGAATTCAGTGACTGGTCTCAAAACTTCAAAGGACAGGCTGACTCTCTTGTTGGGGGCTAATGCAGTTGATGACTTTGCATAGAAGCCAATGCGCATTTAGCATTCTGAAAATAGTAGGTTTTATTTTTTAAGCGCGATATTCTGTCTCAAAAAATAAAAAATAAAAAAAAGTTGCAGATCTGGGTTCCTAAAGAGTAAACAGACAACAACTGTTTTGTTTTTCATTTCTCTTCCATAATGTCTGTATTCAGGCAGGAGGAATGGATTGAAGAGAAAGCAGTGGGATGGTTAATGACAGACGCTGAGATCTTCCACCCCTGAGATCATCTGAAGTGAATACCCACCTTCTGTCTGGGAATTTCGACAGCACTTTGTGAAATCTCACTTGAAATCTCAGTAATTCATTACAAAGCCTAATTATGCAAGTAGCAGCCGCAGACTGTCAGCTTACCAAGCTGGTGATTGAAATCCTTCTGGCTGGCTGATAAAGTTCTGTCTGGAGTTTCATTTACCTTTTTGATTACTGTGATTTGTGACTTCTATTTTCATAATTTTTTCTCTTTTCTTAAGGCAGAGGAGTTTAAGTTGTAGAGTTTTTAAAATTTCTTCACAAAATTGTCATAAAATTGCTTGTCTCCATTGCTTTGTGTGTGTGTGTGTGTGTGTGTGTGTGTGGGTGTGTGTGTGTGTATTTTTCAGTCAAGCAAATTTTTTTTTTTTTTTTTTTTTTTTTCTAAAGGAGCCAAACACCAAACATGTTCCAGCCTGCAGCTCAGATGTTTTCCTTTTGCCTGGTTTGTCTTACGTTCAGGAGCTGGGCCTGTGGTCAGTCAACCATATGGCTTTTAGGTAGAGAAATTCTGTATAGAAATAGGAAGAGATATTCTGAAATGAAATTGCCAACAAACATGAGACTCAATTTGTGGAATCGGTAATTCTGGAATGTTTCCTGTCATGCTGATTTGATCCGCTTTGATTCTTAGAGTCTTACAGTCTCTAGGGAGAAAGCCCCAGTCCAAGTTCCCAGGCCCTCGGGTGTGCCTCGGATGTCTCATACTGTAAATTCCTGGAGCTGCGAGGGGCTGTGGGAAGGAAGCCATTCTTGTTCTGGCTGTTAGGACATTGCTCAGACATAAGGGACTCATTTTTTGCTTGTTGAACAAACACATAGATTAACATCTTAAGTACCTTCTTCAGTTTTGGAAAGCAGACGGCGGAGAATGGGTTGGAGGGTTAGAAATGTTATTTCTTTATAGATCCAGCCATCCTACTGGTATACTTTGCTGTTCCTCTTTTTGTTCCACCCTCCCTGCCTTTTTTTTCAAAATAAGGGAGAGAGAAAACAGTTTCTTAATTTTTATTTAAAAAAATTCTAACACTTTTACATTTGGCATTTTTCACCTTAGAACATTTCAGTATTGATGTAATTGCTTTATTTTTCTTAATACGAATCACATGAAGTGACTTATTTTTAGGTTGGATGTTCTTGACAGGTAAGCCTTTTCTGAGATAAATGTCTATAATAAAAGTTTTTAGCTTAGGATACGTGAAACCAACATTTCAAACATTTGTTTGAGAGGCAAGAGTTATACTCCAGCTACCCCTGCTGAACTGGGAGAGGGAGGTCAGAACCACTAGACACCTGTGGCTTTTCACCAGAAAATGAGGACGGTGGCTGTGGTGGATGGGAAGTGGGTGGGACAAAGATTAGATTTGAGCTACTGTTTTGCCACTACATGCTTTTACTTCTTCTAAGCTTTCTGTTTCATAGAACTGGAAAAAAAGCTAATGACTGGTTTAATGTCAACAACTCTAAAAGAAAAATAGTTTTATTCAAGTCCAGATTAAAACATGCCACTTAATTTAAAGAGCAGTTTTATAGGCTGAGGTTTTTTAAAAAGTCAACTTTAAGAAATATTTCTTCTTAAAAGAATTTAGATAAGGCTAAAAAATACACTAAAAATTAAAATCACACTATTGCTGAAACATGGGAAAAGACAGCATGTTAGAGATATGATCCTCAGTTATTTTATTACAAGGTAGATTTGAGAAGTAAAGAAAATGTTAAAAACTTCTGGACTCTGAGCAGGAGCATAACTATCAAAAAAGGCCATCCTGTAAAGTATAATGAAAGTTGCTTCCACTGAGAACACAAAGCCCTCATTTAGACATAACGGAAATGTAATTTTAGTAATAATCCAAAACATTTTTGATAAAAATTAATATTTAAAACGGAAAGCAAAATGACAATCTAGTAAACGCATTTTCAACATATTACATTAAAATTTTAAGCAAACAGAATGTTTCATCCTGATTTGTAGAACTCAGCTGATCATACAACTTCTTTTTTAAAAAATCTGCTTGACTTTCTGAGCTGACTAGTGCTAACATTATGAAAGTTTGTTGTCTGTAACATTCCCTAAATCATTTTTTAGATTTAGTTTTAGTTAAGAAAAAGAACATTCTGTATGATGAGAATTTTGAAAGATAAAATCAACTTGATTCAGAAAAACATGGAGTCTTAGGTTTTATGAGCATTATGTCATCAAATTCATCAATGGCTTTAATGTTTTCCAATTTTGGTTATTTTGCCCAAAGCAGTAATTGCATTGGTGGTAATTATGATACGTCAGTTTGATGATTTTTATACCATAATTTTCATCTGTTTGAATAACTTAGGAATAAAGAATGAAAATATGGCTGGACATTTTACTTGAAATTGTGTGTCCATCTGTGTCGCTACAAAATACATTTAAAGTGATGGGTAACAAAGTGGCCTCTTTGTGTAAGACCTACAAATGTTTAGACAGCTGTATTAATTAATAGGCTGAGATAGGTAATATGAAATATTTTAAATAATCATTGGATTTCTGTGAAATTTTAGCTAGGCAAGTATTTCAATGGAGGAAACATGATTGGAAAATGCATTTTGCCAAGTCTTTAAAGTAATGACATTGTTTCATATGGAATTATGCATGACAGGGATAGAGTTCTTCTTGGCTGGAAATGGTAAAATAGCAAACCATTGTGATTGCTTCTCGCCTTTGCTGATGACATGCAAGTCTTCTGAACCCTTTTATCTATAAGTGAAGAAACAGCAAATAGCTTTCAGGGATGATCTCAAGTGAAGATAAAAAATAACGTTATTATTAAAGTATAATATTAAACTTCTTAGCTGAGGTGAGTCGTCTATAGAGCACAGACCCAGATGCAAATGTTCAGCTCTTCTGACACACCACCGCTTCATCTTTCCTCCCTAGCTTCCTCTTCCTTTACTGAATATACTGTGTGCTGACCCTGTGTCAAGCACTGTTCTAGGTGTCAAGAAATCACTTTTGATATCAGTTCTGGTAGAATTAACGATAAGAGACCATGTGCAATATCAGTTTGGAAGAAATCACTTTGTAGCTCCAGAGTTAGGTGAGAGTGAATAATAGGCCAAGCCTCTTCGAAAGATATTTCTAGGCTAAGTTTGCCCATAGGAACCCCAGCTCATCTTCTACTGTAGCCACCCACACATTTCTCAGCCCTGCCTAACCCAGAGACTGAACCATTATTCCTGATCCCTGAACACAGGCTATTATTTATTGTATACATGCAGGCAAGGTGAAATCTGACAGGCAGTACCTACCTCTGGAGGGATTCCCATGTTAGGAGTGACATGCAAGCCAATAGCAGAGGGTGGGGAATATCTCAGCCATTGCCCATGTCTCCCAACGTTTCCTGTGCTTTCACTACAGCCTCCTAGAGAGTGAAGTCAATGGGAGGCCACAGGACACCACCTCTGGAGCAGAGACATCTTAGTAGACAGCATGGAAGATGGCCCAGTCTCATAGGGGAACTGACTGGGTCTGCAGTGGCATGGAACCTATGAAAGCTCCAGGTTGGAGACATTTTGCCTTCTTATTTATTTTTGTAGAAACAAGAAAGTCAGCTGTGTGGAAGACAATGACTCATATGCTTGTGCTGTGCTACTTGGTGTTTCTTTTGCCCGCAGAGTCCTCCTGTAGGACATTGCACCAGGTAAGAAAAGGGGAAGGGATGGAGGATGAACTGGTGGAGAAAGGAAATGGACAATAAAATCTGTCAGATAATCAGCTCTTGGTTACCAGAGAGCTGAAGTGTAGAGAAGAGATGGTGATAGAGTGACTGGCCCAGCCAAAAGTAATTGCAATTACAGCTAACCAAAACCCACTTTAGTCAATAGCTACACATTGTTTTTCTCTCAAATTTTTACCATGAGTTCCTGAGATGAAATGAGGCTCAAGTGATTAAGAGTAACAAACACTTTGTTCTGTATCATCTGATAGTGAATGTCTCAGTTGCTCATAACCAGGGTCGTACCATTTCCTAGTGGCACTTGAAAATGTGGGGATGGTAAGGGTTGTCACAGTGACCAGGAGGTATTAGTGGCATTTAGAGGCAGGTTGTAGGAATGGTCTGGCAAAATGAAGCACTGTCCCATCCAAAATGGCAACAGCATCTCGTATGAGAAACCTGATAATGAACACCATGAATGGGCTAGAAGGAGCAATGAGCAGCTCAGGCAATAGTTAAGCAAGGTCTCACTGGGACAGAGTTTGTGGCAATGCACTGTTTTAAATTTTGTAGGACGGGGCCCTATGGCTCTTTCTGAAATATTTTCCCTCACACCATAAGTCATTTTAATTTCCCTGTTAGTTACTCATTAAAATAAGGTGTGGAGGAGCACTGAGAGGGAATACATGAGAACATTTTGAGCATCTTCTGAAGAGAGTACTATTGTTTGACCACAAGTTCTGGAAGGGAGCTTTGAGATCAACTGGTGAAGCTCCACTCCCTTATTTTGCGGTTGGGGAGATGGAGACCTATGGTGTGATTTGCTTGAGGTACATACTCATTCAGTTACAGGGCCAAAGCCAGAACCCCTGTTTTCAGATTTTCAGCTTCTTGATCTTTCCATTTTAATGTATGTCTTCTTAACAAGAGCTTCCTTAGGAAAAAACGACTTTGGAAGTTCCTTCCGAGAGTTTTTCAAATGATATTTACATTACCCTCAAGTTAGTTTGCCTTTGCATAGAAATCTTCTCCATGGCTCCCCTTCCCTGCTAATACTAAGCAGGTACCTGGTTTCTGGGAGAAGTTAGAGACTCTTGGAAAGACCATTTCCTGAAGACTATCCAACCCTACAGCTTATTACTATTTCCTCCTTTCATTGTGTTTCCACATTCATGCTTTTCTACAAGACAGAATGTGGACAATAGGCAGAACATGGGAGACTGGCTTTGTTTCTCTTGATCACTGGGATTTACCTTACTGGGAACATTCGTTCCTTCTCTTCTCATTAGACAAGTTGCTGGGTGCTGAGCTGCTTATGCTGCTGGCTCCTGACCTGCCTATGCACCCAGGCAGCTCAGCGGGTTGAGCAGGTGGCAGGTTTGCCAGAACCTTTTTTTCACCATATTAGGTTGGGGACTGTTGATATCCAAAGTGAAAGTGATATATACTGGATGCTACACTAAAAATGAAATAACCAGAGGAGTATTTGATGTCCTTTGGCAAATTGGATGGGAAGAAATTAATCAGGTCCTTCCCTTAAGGAAGCAAAGTTTTCAGAACTCCAAGTAAACAGAATATCATGGCTTTCTGTCCACATACATGATAAATATAATGTGACTTGACTAGAGTTTATTTAATGGACCAAGTATCATCCAGAGGTGTTGACTTATAACTGCATTTATCACAGTATATTGAAGACCATGGTCTTATCGAGATGGGTTTTGAGTATCCTGAGATGCCTGTATTTCCTTCCACTCATCTCCTCTACCTGTTGCACTTGGACACAGGCTGGTTGTTTAGAAAAAGTGATATTGTAAGAATTAGGAGAGCTAAGTTCTAGTCCTAGCTGTAAGAGGAATTTCCTGCAGGGCCTTGTGCAAATCACTGCAATACCAAGCCTCATTTTCCTTAACTGTAAAGTAAGAGGGCTGGATTGGATGATCTATAACGTCTTCCAAAATTCTGAAACTATTATTTTAGTGTTCTTGTTTCGTGGAGGAACTTTAATTCTTCCACCTATAAAATAAGACTTGATCCTCTGGACTATAAAATGAAAAGTCATCTATCAGTTGATTTCATGGATACGAATCCTCAGTGATACTTTCTTGACTTTGGAGAGATCCCAAAAGCTTAATTCAGATTCTCCTCAAGTTCTTATTTGATAGAGAAAAAAAGGGAATATTCAGCTTTGTTTCTTGATAACATAGAGAGAAGTAAGGTTGTGAAGAAGAACCGCATGAGTTGGCATGAACCCCAAGAGTTAGTCACAGAGCTGCGTCAGTGAATTTCCAATTTCTTTCTCAATGGCTTAGAACTTAGAACACAAGTTGGATTACTAGGGCCAAGGCTCTTCTCAGCCACCAGGAAACATTATTCTGGTGCAGAAACAAGAAAACTGTCTTTCTCTCTTTCCTCACAAACACATACACACACGAATATATATGTCAGTATATATATGCATACTAAAATGTATATATGCATACACACATATGTATAAGACACTGAACTAGCTACTTGGAGGAATATAACGAAGCACAATACACAGTTTATGTTCTTAAGGAACTTGTAATTTAATCAGGGAGTTAATATGTTTCTATAAAAAGATTAGACAGCAAAATGGCAGATCAGGTGAGAATACGCTGAACATCAAATGTGTGTATGGCTGCATGGATGATGATTCCTATAGGAGCCAGAAGAAAAGATGTATCATTACAGAACTGGATCAGGAAAGACCCCTTGGAAGGGGGAAACTTGAGCTTTGTATGTAATTGACATTCAGTAAGTTTGTTTTCAGAATAATTACAGTAGTAAATTCTTAAATAGACTTACAGTATTCTTAGAGCCCATTCCTCGTGCTTTTCATAGATGAGCTCATTTATTCCTCATAAAAATGCTTCAGGGCAAGTGTCACACAATTATAGCACTGTAGTTCCTACTCTACTTTATGGAAGAGGAAAACTGAGGCTCAGGAAGATGAACTTTCCCAAGGTCTCAGATATTGGTGTTGAAATTTGAACCCAGGTTGTCTGTTCCTAGAACACATCCCTTGACCACTATGTGACACTTTCTCAGTGAAGGGTCAGGTATGGTCTCAATGGATGGGACAAAGAGTGGGTTCTAATCAGGAGTAATGGAGATCCTCACAGTATGGGGGAGCTAGGTTTTGGGGGAGTCCTCCTAAGGAAAAAGAATACAATATTATAAAACTAAGGGGAAAGTGAACATTTATTTAGAATGAGAAAAAGAGTCATAACAAATTTCAAATTTAGAAATTCTGGATAGTATTATTTAGCATTTATTCAGTAATGAAACAATATTTTTGTTAATGAGATGCTCACCTTTTAGTTCCTACATTTTTGACTGCATACTTGCATAACCTTATCATTTTTTTCTACAGAGACAATAGAAATATTGTTTAGTCTTTTCTCCAGGATTATTGATCAAATTTGTTTCTTATTATTGGTAGTCTAGAAAAGTATCTTTCAGTTTCTAATTTATTATTAGTTATGTCATGTAAAAATGACTGTTGTCAAATTTGGGAAAATTCTATCCAATTTATTTCATATATGAGCTGCAAGATATCAGGAAACTTAGAATTTTCTTGTTCCATGAATAATTGTAAATGTTCTTAGAACTGATGTCACTTAAGTGTTGATGTTCTCATTGTAATGAAGAAGTTACTGGAAACTACGTAAGTATATCCTACTAAATCCAAACTGAATGTATCCCCAGCTTAACTTGTCCACATTCCGTAAATAGATACAGCTTCTCTAGTGATACTCAAAATGAGGAAGAGTACGAAGGAGGCAGAATTGAAATGGCAAAAAATGATGATCTTAACAGATGGCAGGTGGTTAAAACATTTTGCTTTTGAGAATTTAATAAAATATATGATCATGTGAACATGTGAGATAATCTGCTCATTAAGCGTGAGAGGAGAGCAATATGCTCATTGCTAGATCCTCTCCCAGAGCTTTAAAAGGTCCTCTATGAGCAAAGGACTTGAGGCTTAACCTTCGTCAAGCTCCCGGTGAACCCACCTCTGCTTGTAACATGTTTCCTGGATAGAATAGAGACCCTTCTTACTGGAGAGAGGCATGTTCCTACTAAGTAGCAATGGGAAAGAAAGTGGTCCAGGCTGAAGGGAAAATGGGGTCGCAGAGGGGCCACAACTCATGGACTCAGCTTTGGGTGGGCTATTCTGGTATCATAGCTATTTTAACTGTGGTTGTTTGTGACTAAAGTGAGCAGTTGAGCTGGCATATCAATAATTGATTTTGATGTGAATTTTGATTTTCCCTTTCTAGGCTACCAGCAAAAGCAAGGAGAAGGTACATGCCAGGTTACATGGTATGTTGGCAGCAGTTACTTATCACATGGAAGTCTTACTGTCCATCTGTTGAAATAGAGGGCCATTCTCAGCCCTCTGTCTTATGGCATGGCAAGCAAAATCCTTGATGACTTGCACGTGGACTCTGATTTTTTTTCCCCTTCATATTAAATTGTACCCTTGTCTTTAGTTTTTTTCTTTGTGATTTTTATTTTATGTTTGGGGGTACATATGATGCAGGTTTGTTACACTGGTAAATTGCATGTCACTGGGGTTTGGTGTACAAATGATCCCACCCAGGTAGTGAGCATAGCACCAGGTAATAAATTGCACCTTTCACACAAGCCCTGTTCCTCTCTCCTTCCAGCACCCTCTGCTCCATCCTTGTCTGAGAATTCTTTGCCATAGATCCCTTGGATTGAGCCCATTCAAACTGGGCCAATGGCTAGAGCAGGTCTGAGAACTCATTGATGATGTGACTTATTATAGAGTTCCTGAGCTGAGAGACTTTTTAGAGAACATTGGGAGCAGTGGATTCCAAACTAGAGCTGATCTGGGGAGCTTCAGGGGTCTGAAGAGGTCTTCGGGGGTTCCTGTGAGGGTGTGAGAGTGACCTAGTGGACTGCCCTGTGGGTTCAGCCCTCTTACTTCACCTGGGACAGTTCCACTTTTATCTATTTTATATACTAGAGTTCAGGATAAGATTTTGTTGGAAACAATAACATTTTGTTGCTGAAATGGATGGTGATCACTGATCCATTTCAGTCTTCCTCCACTTTAGGAAGAAAAGACACTGATGTCTGCAGGATTTATTGGCTGTCACTGCAGTGATACCTTGGTGACTGGCCCAGTGGGCCCAGAGCCCAGACCTTCCCAACTGATATGGTCTCCTTTCATTTTCCCAGGTGTATGCGATGGTGTCTGTACAGACAACTCCCAGTGCACTCAACCTTGCCCTCCAGATACTCAGGGAAATATAGGATTTTCATGCAGGAAAAAGACATGGCACAAGATCACTGACACCTGCCGGACTCTTAACGCCCTCAACATCTTTGAGGTAATATCTTCTCTTTTGCAATATGGATTCTAATGTGGGCTCTATGAGAACAGTGGAGCCTCCCATTAGCAGTGGGTATTACCCTCAATAAGAGAGAGGATGAGCACGGGGTGGGGCAGCATGTAGGGATGATTGTAGGTGAATAGATAAGCACCCACTAACCTTTCTGTAAAAAAATCGCCTTCTAAACTTTGGGCATCTGAAAGTCTGTGCCCATGGACTCCTGGCCATGTGAAGAAACAGGCTGCAGGAGGGCCAGAAGGTGGTCCGCTAAAGCAAGGGTCAGCAAACTTCTGTAAAGTTCCAGAGAGAAACATTCTAGGCTTTGCGGGTCACGTGGTCTCTGCTGTGCCTACTCAACTCTGCCATTGTAGCCTGAAATCAGCTGTAGACAGTATTTAAATGAATGGGCTGGTTGCATTCCAGTAAAACCTTATTTACAAAGCCCAGGCAAGCAGCCTGGGTCTATAGTTTGCCAGCCCTGGTTTCCCTTAAAGTGTGGGAACCAGAGTCTGAATCTATGGGAGAAATTGTCTATTGCTGTTTCCAGTCTTGGTATTATAGCTGAATCATACAAATCTAGTTTCAAATTTCTGTTTTTAAGATAGACTCATGTCTCATGATTTGCCCTTCATAAATATTACAAATAAGCTTAAATGGCTTATATATATCTTATATATACAGGTTATCTGAAGTGATATCCTGAAGATAACAGTTGTTCTTTGGGGAGAGGGGAGTTAAAGAGTAGGTAGATGGGAAGTAGGGACTGTTATTTGCTGGTTTGTACAACTTGCTATTGGTCAAGTTATTTGACAGCAGATATGACACTGAAAATGTAAAATAGAAAAACATTATGTTAGGCTGTCCTAAGTTTTAGTAAAGGTATTTTTACATTTAACACAAAAATAAAAATTATAAAAAATTCTTTATTTTTGCCATATCTTAGGAGGATTTATATTCGGTTCAGTCATTTGCAGATAATGTGAAAATAAATGTATATCATGGAAAGCCTGACACCATAACAGATATATTGCTACAAAAGTGTCCCACGGATTTGTCTTGTGTAATTAAAAACATTCAGCAATCTCCCCGGATACCAGGAAACATTGCCATAATTGTGCAGCTCTTACGCAACATATCAACAGCAATATGGACAGGCGTTGATGAGGCAAAGATGCAGGTGAGCATTCCTGAATACTTGGTAGGATATTATCTCAGTGGGAAAGGAATACAGGTTAGTTGGAGTATTCTGTGAGCTTCTTAGGGACTAGAAACCATGTCTTTCACATCTGTATTTCTAATGTCTAGCAAAGTGAGTGTTCAATAAATCTTCATTAAAGAAAGGATGAATAAATGAATGGGAAAAGTAAACATATTTAATTAACAAATATTTATAGAGAGCACTTAGTACTGTAGTAAATATTGGAGTATGATCTACCAATGTATCTTTTGGCTATTGAATACATTTAAGAAAAATTCTATGTTCTGGAGAGAGAAAGACTTTTCTTACTTTCAGTTGTGAGTTAGGATAGGTTACTAAAATGGAAAATAATTGAATGCAAAGAAAACAGCCACTGTAGATATGTGAAAAAGAACTAGGTATTATCCACTGCAGATATGTGAAATAGAAATAGATCCATTTTGTTTGGTTTTGATCTTCAAAGAAAAGGATAGTAAAAGGTAGATTCAGACTCCATGGTGAATTTCCGATATAGTATGTTCTTGTGCAACAGAGGTTAATCACATGATGGGTTCTCTGAGCAGAGTAAGCAAGTTGCTAGTTTTGCCTAGGTGTGATGTGGAGGCGATGATAAACGTGAACATGTGAAAGGCTACCCAGTGGGCTGGCTCACAAGAGGGCATTGCATAAATGGAGGAGGACATGGTGAGGCAATTCCTTTGTAGCTCTATCACCTAAGTCAAACTTCAGTGTACCTGCAAGTCACCTGGGGAGTAAGATGCAGATTCCGATTCATTAAGTCCGGGTGTGGCCTGAGATTCTATATTGCTAAGAAGTTTCCAGAGTATGCCTCTGCTGCTGGTTCGAGGAGCACACTTTATAAAAGTGAGTGTTGAATGTGCTGGCAGTTTCAGAGAATGGCTCAGTACTAATGCTGATTCTTCATTTGCAGAGTTACAGCACCATAGCCAACCACATTCTTAACAGCAAAAGCATCTCCAACTGGACTTTCATTCCTGACAGAAACAGCAGCTGTGTCCTGCTACACTCAGTCAACTCCTTTGCGAGAAGGCTGTACATAGATAAACATCCCGTTGACATATCAGATGCCTTCATTCATACTATGGGCACCACCATATCTGGAGATAACACTGAAAAAAATTTCACTTTCTCGATGAGAGTTAATGATACCAGCAATGAAGTCACTGGGAGAGTGTTGATCAGTAGAGATGAGCTTCGGAAGGTGACTTCACCTTCTCAGGTCATCAGCATTGCATTTCCAACTATTGGGGCTATTTTGGAAGCCAGTCTTTTGGAACATGTTACTGTAAATGGGCTTGTGCTGTCTGTCATTTTGCCCAAGGAACTTAAAAGAATCTCACTCATTTTTGATAAGATCAGCAAGTCAGAGGAGAGGCGGACACAGTGTGTTGGCTGGCACTCTGTGGAGAGCAGATGGGACCAGCAGGCCTGTAAAATGATTCAAGAAAACTCCCAGCAAGCTGTTTGCAAATGTAGGCCAAGCAAGTTGTTTACCTCTTTCTCAATTCTTATGTCACGTCATATCTTAGAGAGTCCGATCCTGACTTACATCACATATGTAGGCCTGGGTATTTCTATTTGCAGCCTGATCCTTTGCTTGTCCATTGAGGTCCTAGTCTGGAGCCAAGTGACGAAGACGGAGATCACCTATTTACGCCATGTGTGCATTGTTAACGTTGCGGTTACTTTGCTGATGGCTGATGTGTGGTTCATTGTGGCTTCCTTTCTTAGTGGTCCAGTGACACACCACAAGGGATGTGTGGCAGCAACATTTTTTGTTCATTTCTTTTACCTTTCTGTGTTTTTCTGGATGCTTGCCAAGGCACTCCTTATCCTCTACGGAATCATGATTGTTTTCCATACCTTGCCCAAATCAGTCCTGGTGGCATCTCTGTTTTCACTGGGCTATGGATGCCCTTTGGTCATTGCTGGTATCACGGTTGCTGCCACTGAACCTGGCAAAGGCTACCTACGATCTGAGGCCTGCTGGCTCAACTGGGACATGACCAGAGCCCTCCTGGCCTTCGTGGTCCCAGCTTTAGCCATCGTGGTAGTAAACCTGATCACAGTCACACTGGTGATTGTCAAGACCCAGCGAGCTGCCATTGGCAATTCCATGTTCCAGGAAGTGAGAGCCATTGTGAGAATCAGCAAGAACATTGCCATCCTCACACCACTTCTGGGACTGACCTGGGGATTTGGAGTAGCCACCGTCATCAATGACAGAACCCTGGCCTTCCACATTATCTTCTCCCTGCTCAATGCATTCCAGGTAAGTCCAGATGCTTCTGACCAAGTCCAAAATGAGAAAATTCATGAAGATGTTCTGTGATTAGGAGCTTGTGGCATTAGATTTCTCTGTAAAAGCCAATGGATTTGGAATAGCATATAGAGTAGGGAAATAAACCTTTGTTCCAGAAAGATGTGGATTTGGATCCGGATTCTTTCATTTACTAATAATGCGTAACATGATCTTGGAATATTTACTCAACTGTTTCAAGCCATATTTTTCTCATATATAAAATGAGTGCAATACTGTCCACATTATAGGAGTGTTTGGAAAGTGAAAATGGTGAATGGGAAAGCATCAAGTACTAAAATGGTCTAAAGATCATAGACAGCCTAGTAATAGGCTGAGTTGTTATGGTTTAAAAATTGAGGAATAACGTCTTCCCCCAAATTTAGGTATGTAACTGGAGGCACTAAAGTTTGGACATTTATTACATTTCCTTCCACTTAAAATTTTTAGCTACCATTGAATTTTTACCTACCAATTTTTCCTGCCCTGGAGGCCAGGGGAGGGCAGTGGGCAGTGCTGTGCTGGAGCTGTCCTGTCCTGGGTCACAGGAGCTACCTATTACATTTTCGGGATTTTTCTGAGCTGGTTGTGAACACAGTCATCAGACTTGTTCATATAGACTTGAAATTAAACAAATTGGATTAAAAGCAAAGGTGATGAATCCTCAGAACTCATCACTTCCTAATTATTTGTCTACCTTTTCTCTTGAGGTTCTTGCATCTACTGTGTCCGTGTGGTAGAAACTCTGTACAATGATGTGCTACTACCCATCTCTTCCTAAATCCATGCTCAGCGATGTCACAGGGCAAGATTTAAATAGGCCATGGTGGGTGTGATTATACAGATTGGCATGCACTACAAATGAGGAGAGTTTATTGCCATTTACTAGCATATCACTGGATCAGGGCAACCTCTGAGGGAGGAGAGAGAGGAAACATGGATCCACTGAGATGGGAGACACAATTAACTGGAAAAAGCAGGAGAAGTGGAGTCTTACGATAAGAAGAGACGAGGGGCAGCAGAGGAGGCTGATGGAGCAGACAGAGGGGCGAGAATCTAAAACATATTGAGAGGCCCAGACTATTTTTTATAAGGAGCCTTTTAAGAATGGTAACTTTGTAACCTAATGGACCATGCCAACAGTCATATTTTTGTAGCAGATACAGTAACAGATTTCAGTAATTACCTTGTAGGCTCAGAGGGTTACACAGAAGAACAACCTCATAAAAGCTATATGGAGATTAGGGAGGAAGACCCTAGTAAAGATGTCCTGGTTCTAGCCCCAGGGGAATATCTGCACTGGTTTTGAAGCCCAACCATCTCCTTTTACTATGGAGGTTTTATAATGGAGTAAATTGCTGCCTCAGCTGCCCACCTTGTCCATCCATAACTTCTGGTTGACATCCTACTCTTGTATTTACTGAGAGGAACTGTGGGCTGAGTGAGTTTTGGGGACCCTCTCATAGCTGCTTTGGTAGGAAAAAAAATAAAGCACATATACGAAAACCTTGGAGAATACCTGGAGATTTACCTACTGTAAATTGTCCAAACTGTGCTTTACCTACTAAAAGAAATGCAAAGAAGCTGCTACTGGTGAATTGTTTGTTAAGTATATTCTCTCTTCCCTTCTCAACCAGATACTAAACTATATGACCAATTTTTTATCCAACTTTTCTGAAATATATTTTGCAGAAATTTCTCTAAGGTGGCATAGGCCAATGAAAAGTGATACTAGTGGTGTATTTGCTGGTTACATATTTATGACTATGAAAGTGCAGGTTGCATAATAAAGGAATTAAACATGTGCATACACTCAAATGCAGTGACACCACATTTATTACTTATTTTTTGCCAAGCATTATGCTTAATATTGCAGATACAAATACAGATAGGCCAACCCCAAGGATTTAAAAATCTTATAAGGAGAGAAATTCCTCTTACTTGTTTAGCCAAAGAATATTAGTCATTAGTGTATTTGTAGGAAAAAACATGCTGGAATTGTGGTTCCCAGATCTTTAAAAAAATACAATTCCTGGGCCAATTTTATGGAGCAACTGAGTTAAAATGTATTCCTAGTACCAAAATCAGGCTAGACTATATTTATCCCAAGGGGCCTTATAAGAATGATAACTTTGTAACCTAATGGATCATGCCAACAATGATTTTTTTGTAGCAGATACAATAACAAATACCAATAATTACCTTGTAGACTCAGAGTGTTCCACAGAAGAACAATCTCATAAAAGCTAAACGGAGATTAAGCTTTTGAGGGTTGGACTGGCTGAATAGAAAGGTGTATTTCAGTGTGTCTGGGGGGCTGGATTAGCTGCATGGATGTACACTGGTCCCCGTAAGGTCCTCCACCATTCATCTGGGCTTTTACTTAGTAGTGGTAGCAGTAGGTTTTCTATGGTATTGTTCTCAGTGATGAATACCAGGTTGTAACATCTTTATGGTGCCAGTTGTGTAAAACTCATGCACCTTAACAGGCCTCTGGGTAGATAAGAGTTCAAATTCACTTATGAAGTCAGAGCAACTTAGCAAGGGTATTCCTAAATAAAAGGTCATTATCTCATCTCCCTTTTCGGGTGAGCCATGGACCAAGTAACTGCACATTTAGCAGAGATATTGTTTAATGAATGTGGCTGTCTACCACATTTTGAACACTGAATCTCAACTTCCTTTTCCTTAACTGAAAAATGGAACTACAACCTGTCCTTCCTTCCGCAAGGGTTTTTTTTTTTTTTTTTTTTTTTTTTTGCCAATGTATGTGAAAAAGAAGTAAAAACTTCAAATGGACTATAGGTATAGAGGAACAGCCTGTTTTGGGTTTTATATATATAGATATTTTTGCATGGAAAATAAAAGATATAAAAGCTTATTAATTCCTTCTGTATCGTCACGTCGGAAATACTTGTCATGTACTTAGAAATTCAACCTATTTAATGCCTTATTAATTTTTTTGAGGATGTATATACTTGACTTTTCTTTGCAAGTTTTATAATATTCTTTGTAGTGGATGAAAGAAGGAGGTTAAAGGTGTTATGGGAAGCTGAGCAACAGCTGTTTCTGCCCTTTTCCGTGGAAACTTCTTTTCTTACTTATTGTTCAGGAACTGCAAGCCTGCACTCCATTGCCTCCTCTGACTCTTTCTTGGATCATTATATTCAGATGAGAGGCCCAGCTCCTGCTAAGTGCAAACACTTTTAATTTGCCCAACTTAAAAGGAAATTAAAAAAAATTCCTGTATGATGTAGGGATCTTGGTCTCTTTGGTTTACTGAGGTATCTCTACAGTGGCTGGCACATGGAAGACACTCATCAATATTTCTTGAATGAATGAATGTAGGTGTTGTGATCTAAGAATGAAAAATTAAGAGATTTTATAAAATTGTTTTCTTTTTATCAAAATAAGAACTGATAAAAACTGGGAGTATATATTATTATCATTATTATTTGGTAAATGGCTTTTCTTCCGTCTTCCTTGTTTCCCAGGGTTTCTTCATTCTAGTGTTTGGAACTATCCTGGATCCAAAGGTATGGAGTATAAATTCTTCTTGTTGCTTTTTCTGTATTATCAGTTCTTGGCCATATGAAGCCTTGTAAAGGCTATTTATTGAAAAGCTTTCACCTCAATCATTTGTGAAGTCTGCATCACTGCTATTTACAATGCAAATGATATTGACCAGCTTGCAAGTTCCTGTGGGAATAAATGTTTTATTTACATTAGTGGTGATTCTTAAAACAATTGTGGATATTACTGTTTTCAATTTTACAGATGAGGAAACAGACTCAGAGGGAATAGCTTGCTCAAGATCACTACAGAAACCCACTCTGATTAGTTGAAGCAGAAAAAGAACTTATTAAATCTCACAATATTATCTTTGGGAGGGTCTCTTCAGCTTGGAGTTTTGGAGGCTCTACTCCAAGAATAGTTGCCAGTGCACAGCACAGAAATGCTCCACAAGAGATACCATTGCTCCTCCACACTTTGCTGGGCACAGATAGCACAGCTCACAGGCAGAGTTGCTGCTACTGCTGCCTCGGAGATCACCACACCCTGCCTGACTGGTACACCAGCACCTGTATTTATAAATAGTCATGTCTGATTGGCTGAGCTCAGGTCACATGGTAACGTCTTACCTGCAAGTTTGGATAGAAGGCTGAGTTCCTATTTCTATCTTGAACAACATTGGAGTCAAGAAAAGGATCTCTTCAAATACAAATGAGTCTAGATAGATGATGAGTGTAGAAAACAAATAAAAACCAAGCAGATGAACAAACCCTCAAACGTTTATTCAGGTTTCTAAGATCACCCTCTTTCCATTGCACCATACTACCTTCCGGAAAAGGCAAAGCAAACAACCCTCTCAGATATAAATACCAATCCCTTCTGTCAATTAAAGTAAATAAATAAATAAAAATAAAAAGGAACGATACCAGGTTGGATTTACAAAATAAAACAAACAAACAAAAAAACAAACAAAAAACCCCAAACAAATAAAAGCATAATTCACTCCCTCCTCCAAACACCACACCTTTACTGCAGAGTCTGTTGTTTGTTTACTTATTTGTTTTTTACTAAATAAGAACACCTGTATTCAGCTGGCAAGACTTAGAGAAAAGAACATGTTAATTTTTTTTTTTTTTTTTTGAGACAGAATTTCACTCTGTTGCCCTGGCTGGAGTGCAATGGCACCATTACATCTCACTGCAGCCTTAACCTCTTGGGCTCAGGTGATCCTCCCACCACAGCCTTCAAAGTAGCTGAAATTACAGACACATGCTACCACACCTAGCGAATTTTTATAAGTTTTTATTGAGACAGGATCTCCCTATGTTGCCCAGATTGGTCTCTAACTCCTTGAGCTCAAGGGATACACCCACTTTGGCCTCCCAAAGTGCTGGGATTACAGGAATGAGCTACTGTGCTTAGCCTACTGCCATAATAGTCTATCAAATTAATATCAAAGTTTTGTGAAAAGGTCAGGAGATTGAGACCATCCTGGCCAACATGATGAAACCCTGTCTCTACTAAAAAAATACAAAAAAATTAGTTGGGTGTGGTGGCAGGTGCCTGTAGTCCCAGCTACTCAGGAGGCTGAGGCAGGGGAATCGCTTGAATGAAGGAGACAGAGGTTGCAGTGAGCCGAGATCGTGCCACTGCACTCCAGCCTGGATGAAAGAGTGAGACTCCATTTCAAGAAAAAAAAAAAAAAAAGGTTTGTGAAGGAGGAATTTCACTATGGTCCTTTCATTGTCTTGTGAGAATACCATATAAATCTAGTAAACATTATTCAGAGGAGAAAAAGTATTTGTCTTGATATTTTCATGTACTCAATTGGGACGCAGAGAGAATAATGCTTTCTCTGCCTTCTCCATTAGATTATGGCAAAGCACAAATGTAATTTTCAGGGCAAAAACATAAAGCACTTAAAGTATTGCCCAGTCATATGCCACGGGGCTCTGTTTCTATTATTCGTAATACCACAACTAATGTCTGTTGCCAGAGTACCAGCAGAAGCATTTTTACTTAGTTTACCAGTGTTAGGTGAGATGTGCAAAGAACTCCAAGCCATGGAACCTTCTATCAAGATCAAAACCTCTTACTTTTACAATTATGATATAAAAGGTAAATAGTCAAAAGTGTCACAGGCCCATACATGATTCATTGACCAAAAGTTGTATAAACCAGTAGTCTTGAAACATTTAGGATTAGTAAACTATGGTAAACATAGTCCCCAGATGTGTTCATTATTAACTTAAAAAGTGTTATGTACATTATGAAACCTAAGAGTAAAAAAAGGGTGAGAACAAAGAAATGTAAGTAGAAGTGCCAATGTATCTTCACAAATCCCAATGGGCCCTTGAGTGCACCATCCTCCAACCCTGCGGGGTAGTTTGAGGTCTGTGTATAACAAAGAATATGGCATCTGCAGGGAAGAGAGAAGGCACCCTGAGCTGAAGGACTTTGGTATATGTGAATTGTGAACATAAAACTTCTACAAGGCCTTGGAAGGTGAATACTATTTTGTATAGCAGAAAGGAAAAGAGAAAAGAAGGGGGCCTGTATTCAGCAGGTAAGATGTAGAGAAAAGGACAGGATGATCTAGTCAGGGAACATGAATTTCATGGACTGTTGCTATATTGAATAGCACTTTTTTATTTTTTTGAGATTGGGTGTTACTCTGTCACCAAGGCTGGAGTGCAGTGGCGAGATCTCAGCTCACTGAAACCTCCACCTCCTGGGTTCAAGCAATTGTTCAGCCTCAGCCTCTTGAGTAGCTGGGATTACAGGTGTCCACCACCACCCCTGGCTAATTTTTGTATTTTTAGTAGAGAGAGGGTTTCACTATGTTGACCAGCCTGGTCTCAAACTCCTGACCTCAAGTGATCTACCTGCCTTGGCCTCCTCAGGTGATGGGAGCACAGGACATGAGCCGCCATGCCCAGTTGTAGAATACTTTTTCCTCTGGAAAAGGTGGTTTGAATAATCAACAAACTATGAGAAACAACTACTTAGGTGTGCCATAAAAATAATTCCAAAGCTATGTCAAGGAATCCCCAAACTTGTGGCAAACTATTTCTCAGCCATTGGGTTCCTATTTAGGGCCCTGAAAATGAGTATCCTGTGCCACTTCCACCTCTCTTGTCTCTCCCCATCTTTCCACCTTTTTCAGGACTACTCCACCAGGTCACTGATCCCTTCATATCCCTCCACCAGAACCTAGCTGCTAACGCACAGTACCTGGCCACAATATCTGCCAGGCCCAAGCATATGTATTATCTTCTTACAGTCTTTTAATTCTTAACTTCTTTTGTTAAATATCCAGATAAGAGAAGCCTTAAAGGGTCGAGTAGCCTCTGCAAAATGGAGCTCCAGAATATCAGAGGTAAAGTTTTCATATTCATTTTTGTATTTAAAAGTGTAACGAGATAATAGTCCTGGGGTTTCTGCCATGTAGATGTTGCTAACGCTCTCTCATCTTAACACTCTGCAAGGTGGATTTCCCAGAAGCACTGGGTACCTCTTGAACAGTTCATTTCAAGCGTTTCTGGAGTATGGGGGGCACATCCGAAGAGATGCAAATAAACTTACATGAATTTAGAGGAGAGTGAGAAGATGGCAGGTGTTGGAGGGTGAACCTCAAACCACATAGTAGGAGAGCAGGTGATGAAAGTAATGAGAGAAGTCTTAGATTCCCATGACATCTCTCTTGTTCTCTATGACTCCAATCGGTTGGCCCACATCCAACGTGTGCAAGCTCCAGGGAGACAAATTCTGATCTCACACAAAGAACGACTCAAGAGGGGCCAGCTGCCATGGTGACTGAAGTGGCTTAAGTGGGCTTGGGGCCTGCTCAGGGTTGCTTAGAGAAGATTCAGTCATTGGACAGCAGGCTGGACTATAAAAGGGCCTCTAACTTATCTTCTAGTCCCGTGACTTAGAAACAAATGATTTTTATGAAAAGAATGAGAGCCATGAACTGTTTTAAGTGAGGGAAAAACTGTTGCTCTTTTTTTTTTTAAACCTTTAAAATGGCAGCAAAAGGAGATTCAGGGTTGGCCCAAGGAATATACCTGCAACAAGTGAAGAGGTGATCTAGAGCCTCCGATGCCAATGTCTGATAGGGTCCACACTCCCCGTCATGGATCTGCGTGGAGAGGGGCTAATCGATGGGGCTGGGCCCCCCGTAGCCCTGAGAGCAGTGTCGCCCCATCCTGTTCCTCGCCTTGCTCTTCCCTCTCCTTTGATTTCTTTAGCCTTCCTCTTGTCTTCTTTTTCTTCCCTTTCTTTTCTTTTTCCCTTTTGCCTCACACTTACCCAACCTTTGGTCCTGTTTTTCGTCTTTGGTCTCCATACCTGGGAGTCTGCTGGTTTCTCTGTACTCCTTTCAGCGTTTAAAAAAAAAAAAAAGCCAAAGTTTAATGCAAACAGGCATTAATAATGTCTAAAGCAGTGGTTCTGAACCTGGGCTGCACAGCAGAGTCAACTGGGAAGCTTCAAAAAGTGGAGTTGCCTGGGTCACATCCCTGGAGATTCCCATTTGATTGGTCTGGAGTGTGGCTTGGATTTGGGAGTTTTAAATGCTTCCCAGGTGATTCTAGTGTACAGTCAAGGTTGAGGGTCATTCATCTGAAGCCTTCCTGAAGTATCTGGCATTGTAAATATTTGTCTCCAACCAGCATCCTCGATGTAAGTACTCTCCTCCTTCACTTTGGTCTGCCATGGTGCTCTCGGGAGAGAGGCCTGACTCTCTCAATCCCTTCCAGTTTGGCTTTGCTGCTTTCCTTATGTGTTTTCAGGATTGATCCATTGAGGCTATGGTAGAGAAATTCTGCTCTTCAGTATCATAAAATCATAGTCATTTCCTCCACTTCTCTTGGGTTTTATGTGACTGAAAAATTAAAATAATATCCAGCATTTTATGAGTAGTTGTCGATTGTCTGAGTGTTTTTGATGCTGGCTGTACCTTAGAAACACCTAAGGAGCTTTAAAAATATACCACTTTCCAGGCCCCAACCAAGAAAAATTAAATCAGAAACTCTTGGAGGTAGGGCCTAAGCATTATTTTAAAGTGCCCCAGTGATTCTAACGTGCTGCCTGGGCTAATGATCACTGGCCTAGGTACTAGGTAAATTTATCCTAATTTCTTGCAATTCCCCCTTCATTTCTTGCTCACTAACGTTAGGCCACTGCCTGCAATGAGTTTTATCAACCCTGCTCAGAGGACAGAAGTAGGTGTTTCATCCATGCTCTTCTCTTCTGCTCTGTAGGCCTCTAATCCCTAGGGAGCAATCTTCTGTAGTCCAGATTCAACGCCCCTCGTCAGGCACCTGCTTGGGTAGTATCAGTCCTGCTCCCCAAACCCAGCATAATAAATTTGCTTGTCTGTGTTCATTTTATATCTGATGTGATGAATTGGCCTGTGTTTACGTGGCAGTAATTCCACCAGTGAGTTAATGTATTAGCTATCTTAGGCAACACATTTCTAAAATGCAAAGACATCTTTGGACACAGACGCATTGAAAGGGGATGACATTAATGCTGAGGATTTCAGCAGACCGGCTGAGAAGGAGCCATTTGAGAGCTTGGAGCTATTTTGCTGTCTTTCTCTCTCTCTCCATGCCACTCAATGCCTTCTGCACCATCCACCACCCTCCCAAATTAGGGCCTCCTTCAGTAGGCAGAGCCAGGCCAGGCCAACAGGAGGAGGATCTCTCATAGCAGTCTGTTCCCATATTGTCAGTGGTTCTGATATAAAGAAGGAGAGGAGAGGAATAAAGTGAAGGAATAAAAGGAATTACTGTCAATCACAATTCCCCAGGTGCTTTGAATAATTGTGAAACAGACTAATAATTACATAATTGGTCATTGGACAGGAGGCTGGACTATAACAGGGCCTCTAACTTATCTTCTATTCCTGTGACTTAAAAACAATTTATTTTTATGAAAAGAATGAGAGCCACAAACTGTTTTGAGTGAGGGAGAAACTTGCTCATTTTTTTTTAAAAAAAAATTTAAATGGCAGCAAAAGGAGATTCAGCGTTGGCCCAAGAAATACACCTGCAACAAGTGAAGAGGAATTGTGTAATTGAAAACAGACTAATACTGATACTTAATAAATGGAATTATACTTTGCCTCCAACAGAATGGTTCTTCTGAATTCTCTTGCCATCCCACCAAAGGGCCAAGTTAACAATCCAGGCTGCATCCCTAAGCTGGAGGTGAGTGCAAAGCAAGGGGTTCCCATATATGTCCTGGATGTGACATTTCTTTTAAAATTGCAACTTGATTAATTATAATTAGAAATGATTTCTCTTCATTAAAAGGATTCTCCTATGCAGTCTATTTTCAGCTAGCTATGGTTGGAAATACGTTCAGACTTCAAATTCTTAGGCTACTGATTTTTTTTTTGTCCCTGAATAGTAAGCAGGCATGCCTGAAAATGCTTTTAAATTAGACTAGGTGTCTTTTAGATGGGAGTGAGCAGAGGTGCCTGTTCTACTTATTTGTTCCCTCTCTTCAATCTTCTCTCTAGTTCTCTATCCCAGGACATCCTATATATCAGCAGTATCCCCAAATTTCTCACTGTGGCCCCTTCCTTTTCCCTAGCCTCAAAAGATTAAGGTATTATGATAAATAATATCTGGGAAAGGCCTTAGAGATGATGGAGACGTTTATTTACATTTGAGAGGAAACAAATTCAGAGACATAAAGACAGAGGGACATGGTGACTAGAAGAGAGCCATCTAGATACAAAACATGTGTAGACAAACGTCTTCCAATCTGGTGTCTCCAGGTCCTTCTGGATATAGAGAGAGAGAAAAGAGAGGGAGACAGAGGAACCCACTTTGAGATATTCACATTCATAAGGAGACAGAGACAGAGAGATGCAGGGAGAGGATAAGAGATGCATTGGGACACCCAGAGAAATGCAGAAAAAAACCCAAAAAACAAAGAGATTGACTCACAGAGACACATACAGAGTGACAGAGGCAGAACAGAGAAAGGTGCCCTCAGCGCTATGTAGAGAGGGTCTCCCACCCCTCATCCCAACACATCTAGGCTCCAGCAGCATTTGTGGCTTTCTACAGCAGTCCAGGGCCTTGTATAAAAAATGGGTCTTTCCCAGGAAGTGTTACAGTGAAAAGGCGGTGGTTCAGCTTAGAGAAAGACAAGGTGTGTAATTCAGCATTTTTGGGCAACAGGAAAGACTGTTCTCTGGATTCCAAGGTGGCTTAAATAGGGAGGAGACTCTTCATTGGCCATAAGGGACCTACCCAAATGGGCGCATTGTTCATGAGAGTAAGCTTATAATGCAGATGTTGTAAAGCCTATGAGTCTTGCTACTTGTACATTAAAGCTGTGATCTTCTGTTCTTGACAAGGTTGTATATTCCAGGAATGGCAGAACCCAAAGGAGAAATGTGCTCATTCCTGTCTTCTTGCCTCTGGAGAATATGTAGGAAGCTCACACACTATGGTGCTGATGGAGGAAGGGCGTGATGTGCAGAAAGGATGAAAGGCTCCTCTGTCTAAGCTGTTCTGGGCTACTAAACATTTCTTGTCCATCAACTGTGCATATCTGCATATATGTCATGTTGGACAGCCACAGTGAACAAAAAGACAAAGGAGGCCACAATTGTGGTTTTTGCTGGTGCCTCCATCTCTATGCTGTTGGTTCACATTTGTCTTCAGAAAGCAAGCTCTGGCTTATCTTGGCAAAGGCGGCCTGGGACTTCACCTGGCTGGATTCTGTGTGTTGCTGAAGGAGGAACCCTCATGAATACTCACAAAGAGTTGGGCTGACTCTAAGTAGGTCATTGCTGATTTTTTTTTTTCTCAAAAGGAATCCACTGTCAGTATATTCCACTTTTTCAAATTTAAATTGATTGGATGGTCAACCTGGTTTGGGCTTAGATACAACTTCCTTGGCCATGAACCAAGGGGAAAAGCATAGAGCTTTTGAGACAGAGAGATGCCTGCTTTCGGCTAAGGAGATAGAAGCCTGGAGTTGTGAGTCAGCGCTAATCAAGGACTGAGCCAGAGGTAGAAACCTGTGTCTGCTGACGCCCAGCCACGGACTTCCCCTTTAAGACCATGTAGCCACTGAAAGGCCTTCTGCCTACACTGACAATGTAAGCTCAATCCACACCAATAATATGCTTTTTTGTTACATGGATTTGGGGAGAAGAAATATCGTGTTTCCAATTCAGAGCTCTCATTTTCTTAATTTGTATGTAACCAAATTCAACATTCAAACTAGGTGTTACCTGATAGAACAGTACTGCAGATAGAAGCTCTTTGAGGAAAAAAAAATAGCCTCTTACAAAGCAAGCACACAGATGACTGCAGCAGCATCTAACTAGTGGATAAAGGCAAAGGGGCAATGGGCAGCCTCTAATTATCCCAACACGAAGTCAGTATTAATGATGTTTCATTCCAAAGGAGAAAGTGAGGCTTACTTTGTCATTGAGTGCAGTCTCTCCCTTCCTCCCTCCCTCCTCTTTCCTTTCTTTTCTTTTTCTTTCTTTCTTTTCTTTCTTTCTTACTCTCTCTCTCTTTCTTTCACAAATTATCTTCCTGTAAGTAGGAAAGTTTGAGAAGACAAAAAGCATCAGTCTGAGGTTTAAAAAAACGCATCAACCTGGAGAAAGAGTCATTTTTCAAATGGCGTTTCTCATTTTGGAACAACAAAAGCATCCTTCACAAATAAAGTCAGAGAGTGGTTTTAATTTACCATTTACCAATATGTTTGTACGGTGTCTTCAAGAAATGGGGTGAGATAGACATAGTTCTGTTTTTTCTCAATGCAGAGACTTAGGTACAAAGAAATATCATTTACCCAGAGTCCATACATTGAAGTGAAAGTGGAATTTCATGAAGCAAAAATAGTTATAGGATGATAAATCTGGACAAATTATATTAAAGACTAACTCCAGTTGCCTTATTTCACAGATAACAGCTCTGAGCTCTAGGGAGAGAGGGAGAGGGAGGGATTGGCTTAGCATTTGCTTTGTGCTTGAGTAATCACATCTAGCATGGAAGTACTCACTACTCAGGTGTACTCATTCCCTGAGATAGGATGGTGGGAAAGATACCCCATCTTTGCCTCATTATTAACCAAGAAAACTCAAGGATGCTGAGAGAAAGACTCTGGAATTATTTGCAAATTCCTGGAAGAAGCTGTGCCTTCTGTCTTATAGTCCAAAGCCCACTCTACACCATGTTGAAAATTGTCAAGGAACTGCATGGATTAGGTTGACTCTGGATGACCCTGGGTGGAGACACATTGTTTCCTGCTGATACCTCACCAAGAAAGTGACTTGGTCAGGTGAACCTAGGAGAAATTAGTACTGATAGTGTTCAAGGCAGATTTGTAGGTATCAGACTTAATACATAATGATTCTTGGGAAAGCCAAGACTTTCCTTAGACTTTAATTGGATAAATGTAGGTAAAGTACTTAGAATAGTACTTGGCAAATAATAATTGCTCATTGAAATTCAAATTTTTTTTTTTTTAAATTAGAGTCCTGTGAATACATGAACTCACCCACCTACACACAAACACAAGCAAACATACAGCCATGACCCTGTGCATAAGTTTGACTGTAGATACCCTCATGGGAACTAGTTCACTGACTTCTGAATAAAAGAGTTAAGCAATTGATTTGTTCTGTTCAACATTAGGGTTATCAGCCAGCAAAATCTGTTGAACTTACCATTAAAAAAATCCTTTCATTCAAAGTTACTGTGGTCATAATATACAGTTTCCTGGCCAGGAAAGAGGAGTACATACCACAGGGTTCTGCTCAGTGCCTGTGTGTCTGAGCTCTCCCTCGCTCTCTGCCTTCTTCGAGAAGTCTTCCCTGATTGGTCCAACCAGAAGTGCTGATTCTCCCCACCTGATTTCCTGTAATTTTATAATCTGCGCCCTTCACTTTATTTTTGTATTTACTGTCATATTGTTTATTTTCTTTTGTCTTTTTGTGTGCACATGTGTATGTTTTGGGGGATAAGGTTATTCACTTTTGTTACTGTGATACTCACTTTTGTATGCCCATAGTGCAGAGCCTGGTGCCTTGTACATAGAATAAGTTCAGTAAATATGTGCAATAAAAAGTCCTTTGATTACACAACGGCTTGATATTGGCTTTTCCACTTCCCAGATGACCCAGTTCTTAACTACCAACCTAAATGGAACTGACCCATTTCCATGAACAGCACCTCCTTGACCTTCATTGCTGTAAAACCCATAACAAAACTGCCTCTTACTTACCTCTCCTTATTACCCACATTTAGAACATAGAAATAGCTAAATGGGGATTTGCTTTAGATCTTTGGGGAAGGAAGGCCTGTGAGTAGACCAAAGTAGAGATGGGATGTGTAGGACTGTTTGGTGGTAAGCAGAATAATGCGAACTGCTCCCCCGTCCAAAGTCAAATTGTGTGCATTCCCCACAAGTGGACACAGTGCCTTCTCTGTCTTAATTACCAACAGCCATGTAGTGGCTCAGTAAGAATTCTGTGTCCCGGTCATTAAAAAAATTAAACAGAAATTTCTGGTGCTAAGTTAGGAATTAGATCACAATTTATGGATCAGTTTGTCAGCCAATTTTCTCCAAGTTCAACATCAGAACATGCAAAAAAAGAACACAACCAAAAAAACACCTTTTAAAATCATCATCAGTAGTGGCATAATCTTACACTGTATCACCCTCATTCCAATTACCCCAGTGCAGCAGATGGAAGCAGAGTCTCATGTGATCATCTGAGATAAGGATGAAGAACTGAAAGACAAACAAGTGACTCACTTTAATGGATTTGCTTCAGACAGGAGAAACCTGTAATTTCTCTTAGGCGTGCTTCATGGACCCATAGTGGAGTGAATCACAGACTTGCACAAGTCTTGAAACTGTGGGCAGCTGTACAGTTCTCATACTGGCTTCTCACAACAAGTGGTCAGTTCTCACTGGGGCCTCTTGGACTTCCATTTCAAAAATGGAGAAGACAGATCACAGCCACTGACTGGGGACTGTGGGAGGTGCCACGTGATGGTGGGGCACCATGCCGGGGAGCTGAGCGCTGACCTTCCTGCTGGGTGATTCTCCACCTCTGCGCTGCTAGATTTACTTCCTGGATGCCGTGAGTACATGTCCCATACAAACACCACTTTCCTGTTGAAGAAACGCTTGTCTTTGCACATACTCCAGAATGGGAGAAATGTGTGACTTATGATGGTATTTTCTGGAATGCTTGATTCTTCAGGAAACTTCCCTAACATGATTTAGAAATTGGCTAGCTCAAGTTGGAGTATTTCCTAAGCCTCTTTTACATTTGTTTTTCTTTAAGAGTAATTCGTCAGGCTTTAATGGCTCATTCCTAGGAGTGAAAATGCAAAGTATCCTGTCAGGCAAATAAACTCACTGTCCCCTTGCTTGATAAATTTCAATAACTGTCTTTTAGACTGAATGTAAAGATGCATGTTCCTTAAAAGTGTTCTTTATCAGTTTCTTCTTTTAGTGAGCCTGACAAAACTGTCATTATATCAATTCAAAAAAAAAACATTTATCCAGTTATTGCCAACACATTTGTGCAAAGGCATCTTCTCTTGTTTCAAGCAGCCAATTCTGTGTCACCTGAAGGTCTGTATTCCTCATATTCTGAAGATAGTTGTGAGAGCTCAAAAGTGTTGCATCATTAGGTGCTGTTTCTTTGTTTGTTTTCGGTATCAGTACTCCATGGGCTTTCTTCATAAAGCAGAGGCAATTGCTGGGCCTATCAATTGCCTTAAAATTATATAAGTATCAAGATAGTTGGTGAGATATCTAGATGTCAAATTATGTCATTCTTGAAACTTATCAGAATCGGAATCCAGATTCCAGTTTTTAGAAAAGATACTGGGCTACAAACAGATTGGCTGAAAGCCATCTAAAACAGCCAAGGATGGGACATTTCTGATTTTAATAGTTCTCTTCTTTCTTTCCTGCAAGGCTCCATGTGAAGCATTTCATCCATGGCAAGGGAGAACTGCTAAGGGTGACTAAATAGATTCTGCTATTGAGGCCAGGAGATACTGGGTCTTAAAAACATAAACAACTCGTTTATTCATCTGATGTTATAATCAGAGTTCTAATTACCTCACTGCAGCAGAGGGAACAGATAGTTATAGAATTAGGGGAACACACACACACACCCCCTCCAAAATGGGGGTCACTTAACTCTTAAGTTCCTTACCCTCTAGTTAACCTCTTTGAATTGGTTGTTCCCATCAGACAATGGTCTGGCCTAGGAGTATGAGACTAGTTGCCACCTTGAAGGCTGGCAAACGAGTGAGAATAGGTGTTTCCTTTCACCTTGTGGTATAGTTCCTTTTGGGAAAGTATTTCCCTGATTTACAAATATTCTTGGCCAATCACCTTAGGGTGTTTTGACTGAACAAGTTTGAGAGATCACACCTTCCGACGCATGCCTTCTTGACTGACTATACTTACAGTTCCTGGCTGACCTTTTTAATTTTCTTTGGGAGTCCCGATGTCAGGCCACAATTAGCATGTTCAGTCAGGTAGAGACTACTCAGTCTGTGTGAGTCACCCCCTACAATTCCATCTAGTATATTTCAGAAAGAAGCTCCAGTATCCAGACAGACTCACTGTAGTTTTAAGCTCCAACTCATTCAGAAATTCAGCTCCAGGTACAAGAAAGATGGGACAAATAGGAGATGGTGTTCCAGAACAGCTGAGGTCATCTGGGTCCATCCAGAGAAACAGGGTTTTATTAGTTCTGACTTACGGAGACAGTGTGGAAAGAGACACATGCTTTAACACGACACCCTCTTGTGCCATGGAGGACATCCCTGCGCTAGTGTGGTATTATTTTCTGCTCCATTCTTTTTCACATAAGGCTCCAGGTAGTACAATAAAGAGGAGGTCTACAGTAGGACTGGCATCCAGGAGCCAGCTTTTCAACTTAAGTCATCAGGTTCCAAAATTATCTAGAATTGCAAATGTGCTCACCCGCCCCTCTGAGATGAAAAAGTTGCCTAATGATTTTAAAGCATAAACTTCAGATGCTGATGTCACTCTGCAGGGATCATTTCCCAATTCATTCACTTATCCAACCAATGTTTACCAAATGTCTATTCTGTATCTTATCCTTTGCTGGATAAGAAATATCCAGCTGAGAACAGAGAAATATCAGGTGTTTACATTCTGACTAATGACAACCTGACTTTTTTTGGTCTATTTCACAAGGTGTGGCCTAATTTCTCTCAGGCTCTGAGGCGAAAAGCACAAATTCATTGTGATTAGAATTTAGGCGGTGGTGTGAAAGGTGCAGATTGCTATAAACTTGATGGAGAGGTAGATCCTTAGACACATTCCTTCTGGGACAATCAGGTCTAGCTGCATTTTGCTGTAAGCCTCTGAGGCCAGCAACTGTTATTTTCTTTGTAATGACCAGCAAATGTTCTTTTTTTCTTTGTAATGACCATGTTAGAGCAGGGAGCCTGGCCTCCATTCAGTAGGCTTGAATTGCTTTTTAGTACTGTGTGAAAAAGCAAAGGTGAATGGTAGTGGGTAATTTACACTTTTATAATCATGCACAGAAAGATGTGGGTTATGGAAATGGAGGAGAAGGAATCTAGGACAAGATTTTTGCAGGTCCTGAGAAACTGCCATTCGAGGTGGCTTAGTTGCTTTTATCTCTGAAATAAGTCATCTTGCAGACACCTTGGGAAACAGATGTGGAGCTGCCCTTATGGGGTGACTAGTATGGAAGTTGGAGGGAATATTTATAAATGAGTGATAACTATTTACCTCCTTGCCACAGATAGCCTCAGGCAAGAGTGCTTTTGATTATTGTTTTCTCTTCCACTTTTTAAGTCTTCGTTTCTGAATCTGTTCTCTTTCTTGTGGTCACCGAAGCTTTGCTGTGCATGACTTAAAGAGCTCCTACGAATACATTAGCACTGGGACGGGCATAGAGTAGATGCTCAGCAAATACATGTGAAGTCTAAGTCTGGGTAGATTAATGTGTTTCCCTCCCAGAAACTATATTGTGATGGAATAGCAGCTTGAAACTCCCCAAAGCATTTCTGATTATCAACTTGTTTTTATTTTTTTAATATGTTTTGAGACAGTTTCCCTCTTGTTGCCTAGGCTGGAGTGCAATGGTGCAATCTCAGCTCACTGCAACCTCCGCCTCCCAGGTTCAAGCGATTCTCCTGCCTCAGCCTCCCACACAGCTGGGATTATAGGCATATGCCACCATGCCCGGCTAATTTTTTGTATTTAGTAGAGATGGGGGTTTCACCATGTTGGTCAGGCTGGTCTCGAACTCCTGACCTCAGGTGATTCAGCTGCCTCGGCCTCCCAAAGTGTGGGGATTACAGGCATAAGCCACTGCATCTGGCCTAGCATTTCTGCTTATCAAGTGAATTGGTAAAACCTAAGTGAAACAGTCTTCTTACTACTAGAAATCTCAGAACATTTGATATGTGTTTGTGCCTCTCTGTGTGTGTGTCTGTCTGTGTGTGTGTTGGAGGGAGTTGTGGCAGTGGTGGTACACATTGTTTTCCAAACTGATTTGATCATGGAACCCCTTTGTCTTTTATGAGACCAGTGTTCTACAGAAACCCATTTGAGGACACAAAGCCCTGGTGAAATACAGTAGACACCAATGCCTCCGTTGTTTGCCTACTAAAAGTAGAGCAGGCTGACTTCCTGAATTCAAAGAAAATTAGGTCAGTCTATACAAATGCCCTCAAGGTTAAATTTTTCTTCTGTTTCATTTTCTTCAATCTTTTTGTGCCTGCTACAAATGGTTGCATACAAATGGTGGATAATTTGCATCAACCTCAAACACAAATGTGCCTTCTTCCAACATTATTCTGTCATGATTACTGCTTGCTGTTTTTGTTTCTTCTTACTGGGTACTAGGATCTTGATTTAAATGGTGACATCTTTTCCCAACAAAGTGTTTTTCTGCCAGCATACGCAGAGGGTTTATAAAGGTAGGGAATATAAGAGAACACACAATTCTGTTGATAACCGAACACGATGTAGAACCAGGAGTGAGTAAATGGAATAAAGATAACTTAAGCAGAATATGCTTGGAACAAGTCTGGATTCTCTACGTACGATGTGATCTAGCACTGGCTCCCCACTCTTTACTAGAAGCTGGTATGCCCTCACCTGGGTGAGTTAGCTTCTGTCAGGCTCCCTTATGAAAGCTGTTTCTCTATGTACCGACCATGGTTTGCTTATATCCATCTGGACAATTCTCACTCTTCTTGTTACATTTAATTTAATATTTAGGTTTCGCATGTTTTCTCTTCTTTCCCTCGTTCTTTCAGGAGACAACCCACTACATGTAGACACGTGCTAGGTGCAGGAGAGATGCTGTATTTGTATTTGCTGAAAACTTTCAGTTTGGAATGTTGAAAAACTCTAATTCACTTAAATTATTAAGTCTTTGTCAGTGGTAGATCTAAGGACATGCGTTTCCTCCATCCTTAGATCCTATAAAAGACCAACCACAGATGAATTAGGAGGATAAATTATGCTGCCAAAGCCTTTTAAAAAATGTTAAATTTTCTGTTCTCAGAGCCCTTAAGCTCTTCTCTGCAGAGCACTCTGGCTTTTGGCCTCAGCCACATTTGAATTCTGACAGGAGGGATCCCATTCAACTCTTTCTGATAAGAAGAAAACCAACCAAACTGGGGCCAACCTGAAAATATTCATCAAATCCATCCCTGCCAATCAAACTGGGCTAAAATAAAAATGCGATGATTCCTCTTAGGTAATGTCCCTGAATATTCTCCCCCAACATTTGTAATAACTAAAGGAAATTTACTATATAAATTACCATCCCAAATGGTATATGGTTACATATGGCAGACTACAATAACATGAATGGTCAAGTAGCAAATTTTAATCAAAACCCTCCAGCCAGTTGTCCTCATTTCAAATTTGTGTATTCTATGATTATGTTTATTATTTCATATTACATATATATTATCTGCTTGTATACATATATGAAATGTATCGTTAATCAATATTGTTGCACAGACTGATTTACAAAAAATGCCATAGTTGTTGGATCTTTTACTTCCTGGACACATTCAGGAGCTGTGTGGAGTTGGAGGTCATAGCACTAGTCGGAGAGATGTTTTAGACTTCATGAATGACATCACATTATTATGCCACATGTCTGACTTTCTTTCAACAAGGTTAGCTTTAAGCAAAACTCCTATACTGAAGGTAATGGACAGTAAACATGACCCATCTCCTGAAGCCTCAGACAGCAGGTGCTATTCTTTTTTTTTTTTTTTTTTTTTGAGACAGAGTTTCACTCTTGTAACCCCGGCTGGAGTGCAATGGCATGATCTTGGCTCACTGCCACCTCCACCTTCTGGGTTCAAGAAATTCTCCCTCAGCCTCCCGAGTAGCTGGGATTATGGGTGCCTCCACCATGTCCGGCTAATTATTTTAGTTTTAGTAGAGATGGGGTTTCATCACGTTGACCAGGCTGGTCTAGAACTCCTGACCTCAGGTGATCCACCTGCCTCGGCCTCTCAAAGTGCTGGGATTACAGGTGTGAGCTACTGAGCCTGGCAGCACATATTCTTTATAAATGCCTCCCTTCACCTTGCCTTCACCCATTTTTAGTGCACATTTCAGACACTAATCTGAAATGTGGAGAGGAATTGGGTTTGGCTTCAGCAATGGTCCTATTATTTGGCCCTGAAAATAGGTTTCTTTTCTCCTTGACACGTGTACTTCAGTATAAGTGTGAAGACTAGCAAAGGGAAAGGTTTAAAGTGGACACTTTAATGAGAGAAGTGAACAATCTTCAGCTCGATAATCAAAATGAATCTTATAGTCTGTATCTGTTTTTCAGACTGCAGGTTACAATCCATTAGAGGCTTGCAAATTAAACTTAGTGGGTGGCAACTAGTATTTGAAAGAATGTCAAATAGAATAGGGAAGAATATAAGATGAAAATATTGGACATATCAGAATTCTTGCTTGTAGGTAGCAAGGATAAGTATTTTTACATAAAAAATTGTAAATATAAAAACTACGGGGTTTTTTGGTTTTGTGTATAGACACTGATATACATACATAGATACATATCTATGTATGTCTATACATAATGAGTCATAATATGAGATTTTTTTATTGTGTCATTTTCAAAAAATTTTTGAACACCAAAGTCATATATGTGAAACATATGGATACTTTTAAAACAATTTATACTGGTACTTCTGGAACTTTCTTTAGTGATGATCAGTTAAGCATCTCTCCTAGACAATATTCATATTGCAAATTGCTTAGTGTACCCATTCATCAATTTATGGCCTACATGGGGACTTCTTTCCACCCACACTGTAAGGTCATGAATTCTGCATTCATAATCCCAACCCCTATCAAATCCATTAGTACACCTTGCCTGTAATGCTGCCATGCTCTTTCCCTTGCTCAGACTTGCTCTACAAGATGATGTTGTAAATAAAAATAATTTTCCCTCCATTCATTGGTTAGAAACTTTAAACTCAAAGATAATTTGGAAGCATTGCTGTAAGTGCCTGTGGCTTATCATCTCAGCTGAAAGCTCACTGGACTCATGAAAGTCCATCTTATGCTTGACTCTACCTAGAAAGGGTCTGATGTCAGATCACTGAGTTCTGTCTGCTCCCTGGTCATCAATTGCCTTATGGACCTAGTTGGATCAGGGCCTAGTTCATCTCTACTAGAATATAAGAGAATTTATATTTGCTAAGGGTAGTCTTTGCTTGGTTGTGTTCACTGAATGCAAATGTGTACATGATCCTTCCTCTCACTGTTAGTTTGACTTGTCTATGTTACCCACTGAATATCCTTTATGGAAAAAATAGCATCTTTTATTTCTGTATGCTCAGCATCTGGTACAATTTCTAGCAAATGAGTGATGTTTGATAACTGTTGGTTGATACAATGAATGATCATCTACATTTTATGAAATCGATGAAAAAATAGTCTCCATATGGGTCAAATAGTTCATCGTAGAGATAAGATTATAGTACAGCTCTCACTGATTCTAAAATCACTGATCTTTTTATTTTGCTGCATCTGGACTCCCAGGAAAATCATTTTAAGGAACTTTATTACCAATAAAGGGTCTGAATTGCCACAATCCTGTATGAAAGTGTCATAGTAATGATCATGATGATGTTGATAAATCTCAACTGTTGTAAGGATATTTTCTTGGAGATTTGACTTTGAAAGGTAGAACTCTCAGGAAAAAGGCAAGAACAAAGGTATGACAAAAGAACAGGGAGTTATTTTCCCATGCATCTAGTTCCTCTGTATAGTAGTTTATCCATTTCTAAGAGGGAGTCTCAGAGCTTGCTCCAATAGCAGATTATTGAGTTTATTAATTTCACTTTAAGTTACTTGTCTCCATATGCCTAGACAAACAGTACACTGTAGGACAGTGGTTCTCAACTGGTGGGGTGGTGGGGTGGTGGTGGTGGGGATTTTTCTTTCAAGGGCACATCTGACAATAACTGAGTGGGGAGTGATTGCTACTGGCATCTACTGGGTAGAGGCCAAGGATGCTGCTAAACATCCTACAATTCACATGACGGCCCCCAGCAGCAAAGAATTATCCAACCAGAAATGTCCACAGCACCATCACAGAGAAATCCTGTTATCAAGATAAAGAATGGCTGTCCAGCTGGACCATCTGTGTTGAACTCATGGCTCTACCACTTTTCATCCGAGTGATGTTGGGCTCATAGTTGCTCAACAATTTGTGCTTTACTTTCCCCATTGATAAAATGAAGATAGTAATAGTATCTTACATCATAGGATTAAATGAATTTGTGCAAAGACTGTGCTTAAAACAGTTATTGGCAAATAGATATTCTTGATAAATATGACTTTTTTTTTTTTTTTTTTTTTTTGAGATGGAGTCTTGCTCTATTACCCAGCCTGGAGTACAGTGGTGCAATCTTGGATCACTGCAATCTCTGCCTCCCAGGTTCAAGCTATTCTCCTTCCTCAGCGTCCCTAATAGCTGGGATTACAGGTGCCCACCACCATACCCGGCTAATATTTGTATTTTTAGTAGAGATGGAGTTTCACCATATTGGCTAGGCTGGTCTCGAACTCCTGACCTCATGATCCGCCTGCCTCAGCCTCCCAAAGTGCTGGTATTACAGGCATGAGCCACTGCACCTGGCTGATAAATATGACTATTAAATAAAGTTGTTAATTAAATAATAAGGAATGATGCTTTGGTGAAACTACATCTTCCTGGTTCTTCCATCATTCTATCTTATTCTGTTGAAAAGTTAACAGTTGAGAGAAATTATTTTCTTTCGTACATTTTAGCTGGCTTGAAAATAGATACTGGTGTGCTTTTCTAGGGCAGGCTGCTTTGGTGTAAATATCTCAGAGTATCAGGTGGGTTCACTAAGGGGTTGGTTAGCCTGCTAAGTATTGTGTTAGTTGTGTGAAGTTACCACCCTCAGGTGGGTATGCCTTCTTTCTCTATTGCAGGTGAAGATCCTCAGGTATGAAAATGAAGTCCCAGGCAACCATGATTTGCTGCTTAATGTTCTTCCTGTCCACAGAATGTTCCCACTATAGATCCAAGATTCACATAAAAGTAAGTTTGATCTATTCCTATGTGATCCCAAGAGAAATCTCTCAGTTGTCCTTGATGGCAAGACTTCTGATAAAAAAAAAAAAAAAAAAAAAAAAAAAAAGGAACAAAGCAAAGTTTAGAGGTGGCAGGGACTTGCGTGGAGAGGGCCAGTACAGTAGAATAACCACTTTGCAAGCCTCAGAGAATGTAGATAGACTGCTGCAGAGAGAAGGAAGTACTCGCCTGGCAATTGAGCAATGAAGAGTCAGATCATAACTTTGCTTCCCACTGGTTGCACAAGTTGTTTCACTTTTCCGAGTCCCAATTTCCTTATCTATAAGATGAAGTTTTTAAAAGATATTATGTATTGTTCTTTATAGATATAATCAATTTTTGATTCTATTAGTGTGCCCTAGTGATTATTCCTAGTATCTGCTCATTTCTGTCTTCTAAGGACCTACAGTATCTGTGGACCACATTAACTTCATTTCATCCTTATGGTTCATACAAGCAGAGAACAGGTTAGTGGTATAATTCTCATAACTGTATTCTCCCTGGATGCCTAAACTTTTCAGAAGATGCAGCATTTCTACTGACTTCACCTAGAGAGGCCAGGTGACCACCTGGTCCTATCCCTCGTCGGAGAGCAGTGCATTCTCCTTGTGCTCTCATCCATGTTTCCTTCAGCAAGTTCCCACAATACCAGCACATGGATGTGCTGCAGTTTTCTTTCTAGTCCTGAACACATTTTCTTCCCATATTCATAAGGAGCCTCTAAGCTGAGATGAGGGAACAGAGTCCCACAGTAAAGAGGACCTTTGGGAATTTGTATTTTTCAGGCTGGAGATAAACTTCAAAGGCCTGAAGAGAAACCCAAGTCTGGAAGAATCCAAGGTATGTGGCTATAGAACAGTCTTCATCCATTTGAAGACAGGGAAGAATAAAGGAAGGGCATTGATGTTGCAAGCTTGTCCCCAGGCCACAGGCTTTCCAACTGAATAGCAATCTCCAGTAAGTTCTTTATGTTTACCAGTAATAACAGATTTTGTTACATTTATACCATTACCAGTGGCATAGTCAGTGAAGTGAGTTAGCAAATATTCACATGTGCTCTAGAATAGTAGACAAGTGTACATTTTCAAATCCCCAAGAGAAATCCATTCAAAGTAGTAAGGTAACCGGAGGCAGAAAAGGAAAGAGGACAAGATTATTCCTTCCTTCATTCAAAGATATTTTCAGGGTGCTTAAATGTATGCAACACTCTGATGCTGAGAAGTCCATTAAAGCACTGTAAGATGAACATCAGGGTGATGAGACTGGCCACTCTCAAGAAGTGAGAAGTAAACTAAGAGGGTAATCACTAGTAGTACTTCAGTGAAATCATGTGGTTCTCACTCACACAGTAGGGAATAACTGGATTCTGCAAAATTATGGCCGGGTGTAAATACATCCTTATATAGACATGGAAGTGAGAAAGGAAAGCAGAGAGAAAGGTAGCTAACATTTACTGGGCATTTAAGACAACATGGATCTAAGTGTTTTACAAGATGCTGTCTTATTGCATATTTGTAGAATTATGTCATCATGTTCAAACTATATGGAAGAAGAAACTGAGAACCACTCTGGTTAATGAACTTGCAAAATTTGATGTATATGGTAGATGTCAAGGAAAGATGCAAACCTTGTTTCTTTTCCCAGTGAATAGAGTCATCACAGAGCCGTCCAAGCCAGAAAAGTTGACTCTCAGGCAACTGGTCACCTCATTTTATTGATTTGAACACCCTAATAGCTCTCAGCATTATTTACTTTCCATTCCCCAGCTGCTATCTTAAGGCAGTTCCCCTGAGAATATTTCAATAACCTCATTCTTCCTATCCAAAGTGAATTCACTCTGACCCATGGGTCACACTTGGTCTGCCACTAGTTTTGATAAATAAAGTTTTATTGGAACACAGCCATGCCCATTCATTGACATATTGTCTTTGGCTGCTGTCACACTACAAAGGCAGGGTTGAGTAGTTGTGACAAAGACCCACATGGCTTGCAAGGCTGAAAATATTTACTTGCTGGCCAGAGTTGCCATATTTAGCGAATAAAAATATAGAATGCCTGATTAAGTTTGAATTTCAGATAATGAATAATATTGCGTGGGTTATACAGACACTAGAAACTTATCTGTTGTTTATCTGAGCATGTACAGTCAATCAGTATTTGCAGATTCTATATATGCAAATTTGCCTACTTGCTGAAATTTATTTGTAATCCCTAAATCAGTACTCGAAATGCTTTTGTGGTCATTGTAGACATGCGGAGAGCAGCAAAAAATTGAGTTGTCCAATGCATATGTTTTCAGCAGTGGCTGGACAAGGCGATGTTTTATCTTCTTGTTCTAGCTCTCCTACTATGCACAACTGTTCTTTTTTAGCCTACATAGCACCACAGTTTTTTGCATTTTTGTGGTTTTTGTTGGTGATTTTGCTGTTTAAAACAGCCCCCAAATGTAGTGCTGAAGTGCTGTCTAGTATTCCTAAGCCAGAGAGGGCTGGAATGTGCTTTGTGGAGAAAATGTGTATGTTAGATAGGCTTCATTCGGTTATGAGTTCTAGTGCTATTGGCCATGAGTTCAATGTTAATGAATCAACAACATATATCAAATAAGGTGTCTTTATATAGAAACACACAAAAAACAAGGTCATATATTGACCTTATATTACCCTAGGAGCAATTGTTCAGAAAACTTAGTATTCATGGCGACTTTATAGAACATAACTCCTGTGGATAATTGACATTTAACTGGGCTTCCCATATTTTATCTGGCAACTCCATTTATGTGGTCCTTCACATAAAAGTTTACAGACTCCTGCTCTATGCTATCATCAATTATCTTTCAAAAACAATTCCAATCATGTTTTCTGGTAACTCCCACATTAGCACAGCATCCAAGACCCTGCATGAGTTAACCCCTACTTTCCTTCCTACCCTTATCTCTTGCCACGCCCCCTTCAGGTGGTCTGGACTAGCCTTTCTGAATGATGTGAAATTCCCCTTTCCACATGCTGTTCACTCCTCTTGGACACCAGCTTCACAATCTATCTGGCAGCTCTTGCTCATTGCTGTGGACCTAGGTCAATGTCACTTCCTCCAGGAAGCAATCCAAAAATCCCCACAATGAATTTGATGCAAGTGTCAGAGTGTGGGAGTCCTAACTGGGCTCCTCTCTCTCTCTCTTTTTTCTTTTTAGATAAATGCCATGGACCTTGCATCTCTTCCTCCAACTGCAGCCAGCCCTGTGCTAAGGACTTTCACGGAGAAATAGGATTTACGTGTAATCAAAAAGAGTGGCAAAAATCAACTGAAACATGTACAAGCCTTTCTGTGGAAAAACTCTTTCAGGTGATGCATTCACAAATTATTGGTGACAGAAGCCAATCCCTCAAGAGACAGTAGAGGCATATTTAATGTGATTTGTTCAGCATCTCAAAAGTCTCAGATCTGCACTTAGAAAAATCTACAGAGTGGGTTAAATTTGTTTCTTGTCCTTCTTTCTTTACACAAACTCTCGCGTATTCACCCTCCTCTCCACATGCTTTCTATTTCTCCCACTAAGAAACTTTTCTAAAAAAAAAGTATGAAACTCACACTGTGGTGTATATGTTTGCTTAGAAGTTACATTTTAGCTCTAAAAGTGGGTTTGTATGCTTCTTGTGATAATCAGTTAATCAACTAAATGTATCTAGGATCAAATTTATTTTGATACCTCTTTTTTTTTGTTGTTGAGATGGGGTCTTGCTCTATGGCCAGGGTGGAGTGCAGTGGGACGACTGGTTAACTGTAACCTCTGTCTCCCGGATTCAAGCGATTCTCCTGCTCCGCCTCCTGAGTAGCTGGGACTACAGGCGCATACCACTATGCCCAGCTAATTTTTGTATTTTTAGTAGAAATGGGGTTTCACCATGTTGGTCAGGATATTCTTGATCTCTTGACCAATCATCAGAAACGACATCTGGAAGTATTGCATTTATAGTGGAGTTATTAATGCATTGACCTATGATCCGCCAGCCTTGGCCTCCTAAAGTGTTGGGGTTACAGGTGTGAGCCACTGTGCCCGGCCTTGATTATCTCTTTTTAATACTTTCAATCTCTTGACCAAAAGAAAGGAGAGATGTGTGCTCAATCTAGAGGGAACAGAAATTAAATGCATACAACATATCCAGTTAAAGTTAAAGTCTCTTTTATATCCTTCCAGGTAGCAACCATTTCCTTCTGCCTCCCCTGTAATCCCATGGAAGCACACGGATCTCCTAAAATTTTAACAGTGGTTTTACAAAGGGATTACAGCTGGCTTCTCTGTCACTTAGCATAGGTAATCACATAGAATTCCTTGCAACTATAGTCACACTCAAAAGTGAATGAAAGAAAATAAATTATTGTTTTGCTTTATTCAGAGTCACATTCTGAATGATTCTAGGTAAAAGAATCAGAAAATCAGCAAATCACCTCTTCTAACGAGTAAACTCTAAACTCTGAAATTGTAATTCCTTAGCATTCTGTGTTTGACCTGCCAACCTCCAGAGTCCACTCCCCAATGAAATTCCATGTGGCTCTTCTTTCCCATCTCTGTAGAAAATTATCTTGTTAGAATACTTGAATTAAAATCACTGTCCTGAAAGCAAATTCCAATAGAAAAGGTCAATATCCTGGTCCCTGGTAATTTGGATGAAATCCCCTGCCTCTTTCTGACCCCGCTGTATCCTCTCCATCCCCCTCTGCATCAAAACCACTTTTTAGGAAGGACTCTTTGCTTCTCCATCTGTCTTCCCCATGTGGATTATTTGTGCTTTAGCTCCTTTAGTCTGATACATGGTAGGCACTTACTCATTTTTTTAATGAAACTACATTTATTTTAAACAGGACTCAAGTGTGGAATCTCGCCTTTCAGTAGCAGCACCATCTATACCTCTGCATGTTCTAGATTTTCGAGCTCCCGAGACCATTGAGAGTGTAGCTCAAGGAATCCGCAAGAACTGTCCCCTTGATTATGCCTGCATCATCGATGTTGTGAAATCATCAGAAACAACATCTGGAAATATTGCATTTATAGTGGAGTTATTAAAAAATATTTCTACAGACTTGTCGGATAATGTTACTCAAGAGAAAATGAAGGTATTCTTTGTTAATCGTTAAAAATGGATGTCTTTCTTAAAATTTGCATTTGAATGGTTTCAAATGTACTTTCCAGGGTAAAAATGACAATGAAAGCAACCATCACAACAACAGCAGGCATTTCACTTCTGTTTTCGGTATTGATTCATTCTAGTTTATGGAAGTTTTCAACAAGTTAAAACATGTGTAATACCTATCTTTGTATACACTTCATATTTTCAAGAGAAACATCAGAACATAGTGAAGGTTGTGAGCGAGACGGAGTCTACATTAGTGTTTCTAAAATTATGTTCTGTAGATCAGGGGTCCCCAACACTCGGGCAGTGGATTGATACCAGGCTGTGGCCTCTTAGGATCTTGGCTGCGCAGGAGGAAGTGAGCGCAGGGTGAGAGAACGTTACCACCTGAGCTCCACCTCCTGTTGGATCAGCTGTAGCATTAGATTCTCACCTAAGCGCGGACCCTATTGTGAGCTGTGTATGAGAGGGATGTAGGTTGTGCTCCTTAGGAGAATCGAAGGCCTGATGATCTAAGGTGGAACTGTTTCATCCTGAAACCATCCCCACCTCTGCCACCCTGGGTCCATGGAAAAATTGTCTTTCACGAAACTAGTCCCTAGCACCAAAAAGGTTGGGTACCATTGCTGTAGAACATAACCATTCTGAGAAATGTGAATGGAGATTCCATTTTTAAAAGGGAGATCCGTAGCACATCAGTTGTAGGAAGTTCTGAGTTAAACAAAGTTAAGCGAGTTTCCATATGGCAGGACTTTTCAGAGCCTTTAATGTCCTAATGAACTTTGGAATTCTTTGCAAGGCAGGGGGAGATAGGGACATGGTATGCAGTCTTTCTCAAGCTTAGATTATGATTGAACCTACCTCCAGTCTCTTCCACTAAACAGTCATTAAAATCTCATGGGAAACTTGGGTTCTACACACTGCAGTTTGGAAAGGCTGCCCTGGCTGCAATGATAAAGCAGGTCAACCTTAGCTATGATTTTTTTTTCTGCATTATTTTACTTTTCTTCCCTCTGTGTGGCCTTCCTAATGTGGGATTCTAATACATGGGGAATTTGAAGAGAAATATGACAAATAAGAATAGGTAACTTGATGTGTAGAAATTTCAGGTTTTAGAAATCAACTTTGTGCAACAGTGTGTAAATCCTGAGTATAATGTTCACCTTTCTCCATTACAGAGCTATAATCAAGTGGCCAACCATATCCTTGATGCAGCAGCTGTTTCAAATTGGGCTTTTATTCCCAACAAAAATGCCAGTTCGGATTTGTTGCAGTCAGTGAATTTGTTTGCCAGGCAACTCCACATCCACAACAAATCTGAGAACATTGCGAATGAACTCTTTATTCAGACAAAAGGGTTTCACCTCAACCATAGTACCTCAGAGAAAAGCTTCGATTTCTCCATGAGCATGAACAGTACCGCAGAAGATATCTCAGGAATGGTACAGATTCCCCAGCAAGAGCTAAGAAAGCTGTGGCCAAATGCATCCCAAGCCATTAGCATAGCTTTCCCAACCTTGGGGTCTATCCTGAGAGAAGCCCACTCACAAAATGTGAGTCTTCCCAGACGGGTCAATGGTCTGGTCCTGTCAGTGGTTTTGCCAGAAAGGTTGCAAGAAATAGTACTCACCTTTGAAAAGATCAATAAAACCCGCCATGCCAGAGCCCAGTGTGTTGGCTGGCACTCCAAGAAAAGGAGATGGGATGAGAAAGCATGCAAAATGATGCAGGATGTCAGAAACGAAGTGAAATGCCGCTGTAACTACACCAGTGCGGTGATGTCTTTTTCCATTCTAATGTCCCCCACATTGAAGACGGACAAAGTTCTGGACTACATCACCTGCATCGGGCTCAGCATCTCAATCCTAAGCTTGGTTCTTTGCCTGATCATTGAAGCCACGGTGTGGTCCCGGGTAGTTGTGACGGACATATCATACATGCGTCACGTGTCCATCGTGAACATAGCAGTGTCGCTTCTGACTGCCAATGTGTGTTTTATCATAGGCTCTAACTTTCACAATTTTATCATAGGCTCTAACTTTCACAATGAGGTCCAGGATTACAACGTGTGTGTTGCCATGACGTTTTTCAGCCACTTTTTCTACCTCTCTCTGTTTTTCTGGATGCTCTTCAAAGCACTGCTCATCATTTACGGAATATTGGTCATTTTCCGTAGGATGATGAAGTCCCGAATGATGGTCATCGGCTTTGCCATTGGCTATGGGTGCCCACTGATCATTGCTGTCACCACAGTCGCTATCACAGAGCCAGAGAAAGGCTACGTGAGACCCGAGGCCTGTTGGCTTACCTGGGTCAGTACCAAAGCCCTTTTGGCATTTGCCATCCCGGCCTTGGGCATTGTGGCTGTGAATCTCATCGTGGTTTTGGTTGTTGCTGTCAACACTCAGAGGCCCTCTCTTGGCAGTTCCAAGTCTCAGGATGTGGCCATAATTATGAGGATCACCAAAAATGTTGCCATTCTCACCCCAATGCTGGGACTGACCTGGGGCTTTGGAATAGCCACTCTTCTAGAAGACACTCCCTTGACGTTCCACATCATTTTTGCCTCGCTCAACGCTTTCCAGGTAAATTCCAAGAGGGAGACTTTTCTGTGTTACTCTAGCTAGACCACACACACACACACATACACACACACACAAATGGCTATGATTTGAAATTGAAATTGTAGAACACACAATGTTCCTTCCACTTCCTCTTAAATCTCAGGGGTATTTGGCTATGGCATCTCTGACTGTATTGATTATCAAGTTGAATTTTGCTGGCCAGGCAGGTTGGGTGGAAATCCCCTTCCTTCTTTCCTCCCTGATCCACCTGTACCCCTACTGAAGTGTCACTGTTAGAAGCAGCTAGCCTTCGCTTGTAGGACTATGTAAGGCGACATGTTAATGCCTCAAACCAAGCACATTTTTTATCCTTTCTCCAGTTGTTTGGGAACTCAGTGAAATAACAGCCATTTTCTATATTCTGAAGAGACGGGGCTTGCCATTCACTTTGGCTGTTAGCCAGTCAGGAGTTCTCATACCTCCTCCCTGCTAGTCTCTGTGAAATAAAAATAATTGTTGTTTGTAGAAAGAGATCTTGCCATATGTTATCTAATCTCGGGAATGCCCCACTTCTCTCTGGGCCTTAGCTTTCTCATCTGTAAAATGAAGACATGAATCTAGAATGATCTCTATTGTCTTTCCCCACGCCAACATAATAGGTTTGGCGAGACCGTTCCTCTAAAATGGTTTGACTGCCTCTTGGCTACTAAGCTTATACTTCTGGGAAACTATCATTTACCAGACTGCTTTTCATACCTATAAGTAATAGAAAATTTGGTGGGCCCATTTTCTCGATTATGCTTTTAATCAGAAGGCAGAAAAAAACAGCCTACAGGCTGTTTTTGTAAATAGGGTTAAATAGGCTTTTATTGGAGCCAGCCATGCTCATTATTTAGTTTTCCTTTGCTTCTGAGCTACAACAGCAAGGTTGAATAGTTGCAGCAAAGACTATGTGGCCTGGAAAGCCTAAAATATTTACTATTTGGTTCTTTGCAGAAAAACGTTCCCAACTACTATTTTAAATAATGTAACTAATTAAACAACCAAGTATTCTTATTAACATGTCATTATCATTCTGTTTAAAAGCATGATACAAAATAGAAAGCAGACTTCAAAGAAATGCCAATAGTAATCAATTATATATCTTACTCATAATTTTTTAATAACTATGGAGCACATTTTTTCTTCTCTTCCTGTTGCATTGCGTAAAGTGAAATCTTTCACTTGAGGGATTTTTTTTTCTTTAATCAAATACTTTGGGACTTTTGATAAATTTCCCAACTCTTGAAGTTACTCTGGTGAGTAATGATCTTGTCCTTTCTTACTTTGCAGCTTAATTAAACCCCAGGACATTTTACTCTGTATTTCTTTTTCAGTTCATTTGTGTTTCTGTCTTCTTGATAGAAAGAAAAATACCCAAATGCTTTTAGCTGTATACATTTCTCTTCTCAGCAGGCTCTCCCTGTGACTTAACATCTAAAACTTTAATCTGATGGGTGTTTCTTCACCATGAATCATGCTTAGATTGAGAGTGAAAAGACCCTAGCCTTACAAATGTCTGTAGAATTCTTCCTTTTGTGCAGACTTTTTTTTCCCCCTACAGCTTAGAGGCCTTGGCTGTCTATTTACTGACTTTCAACTCCAACTCAAAGTAGACTAGAATATAAATTTTGTTTTCTTAAGACACTCTCCATGATTGTTATTTTGGATTACAAGTTTCTGTCACACGTGACGGTCATCATGAGTAGAAACAGCTACCTCAATATTTGCGAAGAAAGTGAAATAACTGCATAAGGCTGAAAACTATCCTACATCTACAGCCATTCAATAACTACCAATAACCCTCCTGCATTCCTGTGCAGGTGATGATCCTCTTCCAAGGGTGGGGGAGACTCAAAGGAACACTGATCAGTGCGTTTTTATCTGCATTAGTGGAAACTGAAGTTTCTAATGTCCAGTAACTGCCCTAGGAGGAATCTAGAAGAGTGGTATGAAATTAACAGCTGAGATGTTGTTTGAAAAACCATCCCTCATGAGTCTGTTGAATTTTGCCACAGGGTTTTTTCATCCTGCTGTTTGGAACCATTATGGATCACAAGGTAATATGAATTTGCTGTCTCCTTATAAATGATTTTCTGGTGTCTGGGGGTAGCAGGAGGATGAAGCAGTTTTGATTGGAGAGCGCGGTCCAGGGGAGTTGAGTTTGTGAGGATGGTTCAGGGAATCAGCTGTGAAAAGGGGAAAAAAACCCCAATATTTTGTCATTTCTCACTCTTTATTAAGTCAACAGGAGGCTGTGTGTGAGTATTGCTGGCGAAATGAATAGAAATCATAATCACAATTTTAGTCTTAATACCAAATCTAATTATAACTACACCCTAGCTTTTATCCAGGTCTTGTTACTTGCCAGTCACTGCGCTAAGTCCTCTGATATTGCTTCTGCCAGGGTTACTGGTCTTAAAGTTTTAGGACAGGTGTCAGCCCTGGTAATTTTGTTGTTTCTTCTGACATCTGTGAAGTACTTCTCACTGTCATTGCTTCTTTAGATAAGAGATGCTTTGAGGATGAGGATGTCTTCACTGCAAGGGAGATCGAGGGCAGCTGAGGTAAGCCTCCCCCTTTTAGTTTCGGCACTGGTGGGTCTGTGTTCTCATCGGTTATGCAGATACAAATACCATATGTAGCTCAGTACTCAGGATTTGTGAGCAAAGAGGATCGATAGGGTATACTTCATTCATTCATACCTTCATTAGATACATTTGAAGTATTCTGCTTAAATGGAAGGTCAGCAGAATGTACTCTTCAAGAGAATTTTTCATATTGGATGTATTTCAGCTCAACTTTTAAACCCATCAAGATGGGACCACATGAAGTCAGGGTCATAGATTTGTAAAATGTGAGAGCTGTGAAATGAGAGATGAGTTAGAAATCAGATTCTAGTCCAACCCATTCATTTTACAGGTATGGAGATCAAAGGGCAGAATACTTATGGGATGAGCACAAGGCCACCCAGCTGATCATTAGCAGAATCACAATGGGGACCAGTTGATATTAAAATGTCTTCCCATTCTCCTCACTTGGGACTCTTTTGAGTACACCATACTCCCTTGGATTGAAGAATCTATGTATTTAGAGATCTTGAAGACTTTGGGCTGGCTATGTCTCTTAAGACACCAACTAAAATTGCTGATGCTGCTTTATTAATTAAAAGTTATTTGTTCAACCTACAGATTCACATTAGAAGCCCCTTCCTTTAAAACAAAAACTTTTTGGATACATTGAATAACTACCATTTACAGTTAGATAGTATTGAGTGTGACTTTTCATATCATAGTTTATTCTAAGATAGGCATTTTCTTCACCTTTTAACTCATATTTAACTTGTATCTTCTATTCAGTGGCATGTCATAGTTTAATTGAAAAGTTTTGTTTCTTTTTATTTTTTAGCAGAACATAAAAATAATGTGGTGTACACTTACATTCAGTGAAATATGATAATTTAGTTCTATGTAGTTGTGTCAATTTGGGTACTCCTTTTCATGTCTTCATTTTTACGTGTTTATCTCTAGAGAGGCACATACATAAACAGATCTACTATTTGTCAATATCGTTACTCATTATCACCACTGTTTTCTTTCCCCCACTTAGAATGCATCCCTAAGCCCAACCAATGGACCTAAATTAATGAATCGTCAAGGATGAAATGTGAGTATTCAAAATACAAAGAGAAAGTTCACTTGCAAGTTGTGTCAATCCACCAATGCCCCTGTGACCGCACTATTGCCTGCTATGTGATGCTGGAATGAAGTGGGAAAGGAACGGGGGATGTATTTTTCAGAGATTAGAAACATCTTTATTGTCTAGCATGTAAATAAAAATACGTACATCTTCTTTAAAACCTATGTCATCTCAGCTTACATGACCAAACCCTAAGCATACTTTAAATTTTCTGTCCTCGATGAGAGGATGCTGTCATTATGCCTGCTGTCTACAGTGCTCACATACCTTAATTCCATCTTGTCAGTGAGTAGTAAGACTCATAATAGCCCCATTGTTGAAAAAGAACACTTGATTGATTGGGATCACAAAGCAACAGGTCTGTCTTTTCTAATGAAGCGGAACCCAGAGTCGTTCCTAAGAGGGTGTGGGTGGGAGCTCCAGATTAGCTACCTACTCATAGCCAACTCCTGAGGTGTATTTCTACGCAGGTGAAACCAGGGGGAAACAAGCATTAGGCAGCCAGGAAGCAGGAGAATAAGTCACGAAATGGCAGCCAGAAGCCTGAGAGGTGCCGGGGGAATGTGGGCAGGGGGGGTCAACCTTGGGAATGGTTTTGCTTGGAGAGTTTCATGGCCTTCCTGCATTGTTACAGACGAGTCTTAGACTTTCAGGCAAAGTACCATTTGGCAGCGGCCACATCCTTTTCATATTTCTTTCCCTTTCTGAGTCATGGTCCATATATTGAACAATGGGCCAAAACGAGGGGTTGAATCTCATGGAACCAAAGACACTCTGAGTTGGGAAAACCTTTAAGGGACATCCCTGTCACAGATCCTACAAATCGGATGCTGTGCTGCCATGGGACATTGACATACCATCCCAGGGAGAGGGAGAGAGAGGAGGAGGGCTCTGCCGTGTACATGGGGTGGCACGTGTGGGTGCTGGGAAAACAGAGGAAAACACAGGCCTCTTATCCTTAATCATTGCCCTCGTATTCGGAATGTTATAGGAGAACTTTAAAAGTGCACCCTTCTGCTCTGCCCATTTCCTAGTCTGTAAGCTTCCTCTGGGGTGAAACATCACTATAACGTTTCTTAATTTGCCACTAATAGAAAGGCAGTAATACAGATAACCTATTAAAAACACAGCTGGCCTTTCAATTAAGGTCCTAATTAGAAACCACTTGCTTTAGGTTTATCAGGCTGTCTCAGGTGGAGGAGGCCCTGCCTTTGTGGAATACTGTGTCCTGTTCAAGAGAAGTGGGTAGTGAGGGCCTTATCTCCAGGTGGCTGGCATCCTCGGTTGGCTGTAGTCTAAGTTGGAGAAGCAGAGTAGACGGCGAGATCAGGAGCTACACTACTTACTAGGGTTGCAGATGTACAGAGTCGTCTGCCAGTAGTAGAAGGAAGTCCAGGAAGGAGGTGGAATGCTCTTACAGTACTCCCTGGTGAAGTCTTTATCACATAATTCTCTATCAACTTGCTCTATTTTTAAAGCTGTATGAGGTAGGCAAGGAACTGGGGATTGCATTGTTTTAGCATATCCCTTGCAGGTGGCTCTGTGCCTGTTTAATTTTCTCAGTATTGGGGCCTATGCTTTTCACATCTGGGCATACGTGGTATCAGAAGGGCTCTGTAATTGCAGCTGGCCTCATGGTAGACCATGTTGGGTACTCACCAAAGATTACGGTACAGGGCTAAGGCACTGACATTACATGATCCTCCAAAGTCCAGGGTGGAAGGTGGCAGCACCAGGGGAGTTTCTCAGCAGAGAGGGACCCCACACACAGGGTTCGGGGCAAAACAGGCCCACTCGGGGTGTTTGGTATGCACCAGGAGTGGTGGTGGTCCAGGGCAGGGCTGAACCACGGAGGAAGGCGGTGTTCCAGACCTTCACCAAGAATACAGAATCGAAGGCTGACCCGGTCTCAGGAGGTAGGCAGAATTCCGAGAAACGGGTTGAGAGGTCAGAACTGGACTTGCAAGGAGAATTAAGTCTCCTCATATCCCAATGACCGCAGGTCAAAATTGTTCTTAGAAACATGGTTGAGAAAGGGCTGTCAGGTGGTCCCAGGGTCAGGGAAAGAGGACTGCAGAGGTGGAGAAACAGGGAAGTTTGCTCTGGGTATAGATTCTCATTGGGGACCCCCCCTGGGAGGCAGGAGAGAGAGGGCCGGGGCATTCTGCCGGTGGGCACAGCTCCACAGCGCCCTCTGCTGTTCATTTCAAGGGCTGGACTTGAGTAGGACAAGCAGGCTGTTCGATTCCAGGGGCACGAGGAAAGCTTTGGGTTCCTCCAGTGTCTTCCACATAATTTATTTATGCCTGTTTAGTATTGGTCTACCACTAAAAGGATGCAGAGTTTTTCACTCCACAATAACAAATGAGACAGATTGAGCAAATACCTGGAGGGAAGCAACAGGTTTACAATGTAAATTCACAGAAGCAGAGCCATTCTAGAATCTAAGTTCAGACAGCAGAGGAGAGAGGGCGCTGAGCACTGAGATTAGGTTGGAAGGACCAGCCTAGGGAAGGTAAACCGCACCAAAAATTGCAGCTGGGAGAATCGCCTTTTTACTGTGCGACCTTCAGGAAATTACTCAGCAACTCTGTGCTTCATTTCCTCTTATGTAAAGCAGAGTTAATGATAGTACATGCCTCCGAAGATAGTCTCAGGCTTAAATGAGCTAACACATTAAAAACCCAACTTGAGCTATTATTCTTGCTATTAATTGTGTTTCAACCACATTTCCCAGGCTGCCCCATTTCTCATGGACGTCCTGGGACCGAGAGGGGAGATCCAGGAGAAAGGGGATACAGAAAGCAGGCTGGAGTGAGGAGGAATGGTCGTGCTTCCCTGGAAGACTTTCTCTTCTTGTCGGGAGTGACTCCCAAGTCTGCTGACTCAGTCTGCTGAAAAAAAATCGAGGATTTCATTTGCTGACTGGGCTTTAAGAAGGGTGATTTATGGACCCCTTGATCTACCTGTGCCCTGCAAGATGCTGGCTTCTTGGTCACTCTTGGCTAGATTAAGAGTCAACCTGCAAGCCATTTTACGGTCTCCGTGGCCAGCTGGGGGCTGTGGCCCTGCTGGGCTCGGTCTGCTTTCACTCCTGAGGCCTGCTCTGTGGCTCCGTGGCTCAGTCCTCAGTCCTCCATCACTCTGCGTGGATCCTGGGTGCTTTGGACAATGAGGGTTAGATCCAATTTCAGGGGTAGGGTTGGGGGGTGGGAGTGGGAGTATAGGGTGGCAGGAGGAACATTGAGTCTACTTTGGAGACAAGTCATGGTATGTTTCCTGAATGGGGAACAGAAGAAAGTAAGAGAACTGTTTAATATGCTGTTTATTTTAGTCTATTTTAGACCTTGAGTAAACTAATTTAGCTTCTAGGATCCAAGTTGCCTTATTTGTGAAACAGGAAAAAAAATTCTTATAGATATTACTATTTGTATGTTTGTGTCTACCTGCAGGTGTGTGTGTGTGTGTGTGTCTTTCAAAAATGCTATAGAAGATTCTGGTCATTTTAGATATAAAAATGAATGTATGTACCTTTCCCAACTTGCTCATGTGTGAGTTCATTTAAGATGGACTTCTCCATTGGTGCCACACATTCTTGGATGCCAGTGTGCTGTCAATCCACCTCAGTGCATCGCCCATTCCTACAGGAGGCCTGAAGATGGAATCCTGCCATGCGCTTACAGGGTGGGAACCTGGAAACCCTTAGCAAAGAGCACTAGTGTCTTTCAGAGGCTCTCAATGAAATTTCTATCACCAGTTCCGTTGTATAGTGAGGCATTCATGAAGACTGAAGACGGGCATGTGCATGGGGAGAGCACTTTGTTCAAACCGGGGAAGTCGTCAAGCCCATTAGTGGTCACGCTTTTTCACAAAACAAACAACAGAGCAACTGAATGAATATCTCTTTGCAGGGCTCCTGTCGAAACCTTTAGTATTGGTTTAGAAACAAGATAAGATTTGGTTTCAAACCAAATGGTAATTATTTAAAGGGTGAAAATTCTCAATTGCAGATTTTTCTCCTCTCATAAAATGTTCATTGGAAAGACGTGAATTTAACTTTTAGATGTATAAAAGTTCCTGAGCATTAATGTATTGATCCACATTTCCTTCCTGACTCTTGCCACTAAAAAAACAACTTTTATTTCTCTCAATCCAGAAATTCTGAGCATTCCTTAATTCTAAGCCAAATAATTGCCTTTGGTTTAGTAGATTTACTTGGTACTGTAACAAGGCCAAATTTATAGTTTGCATATGTTAACACCATTTGGTCTTTCTTCCTTCTTTTCCATATTTTTTCAAAGCTTTCCATCTTTGTAGCACATAGTAAGAGAAATATGGTCCTAGGTGCAGTCAATTCTACAATAAGGCCACATAAGCATTTCCAAAAATCCCGTTGCTATGGAAAATTGGTGACAAAGACCACAGAGCTTATGGGAAAAATGGATTAGAGATAGATCATGCCAAAACTTTGTCAGAGACATGTTAAAAAGGTAACCGAATAAAAATTAGAGCACAGTTTTACTCATGCTAAATGGTCCAGTAATATATAAATACGATGATATATATATGTGTGTGTGTATATATATATATAGTTTCCTTTGAAAAAGACCTGAGGTTTGCTTTAGGAAGTGGCTGTCAAAAAGGTTAAAGCTTGTTAGTTATTATGGAAGAAGGTTATCTGACATTGCTAGAAAATCGTAACATCAGAAGTAATTTGGTATAGTTTATAACACATGCAGTGAATTGAGAGATAGATATTTGAAGTTTGTGTGTGTGTGTGTGTGTGTGTGTGTCTGCCTGCATGTTTTGTATACTCCTGCATTTCTTGGTTCATGTACACACAGTTTTCTGCTTTCACCTAATGTTTCTTGAAGACAGTATCACATATTAGCAAACATGAAATTTGTGTTATGTTCAAATTATTCCCTAATACATCCAACCAGTTAGAACAAATTCTTGTTTTCAAAACAGGCATCATAGCAGAACTGACTCTATCTCATGGTGAACTTCCATAAAAAACAGTGAATTCTAGCACTGCAGCACATTAAAAATCACCTAGAAAGCTTCTGAAACTATGAAACCCTGAGCCTTACCCCTAGAGATTCCGATTCAATTAGTCTTTGAAAAGGCGAGGAAAGAAAACCTTTCTAGGTAGAAGAACAAAGAAAGAGAAACTTCTTGCTCAATAAGTTTTATTCAGATGGTTATTGCTTTCTTACTATATGTTCCTACATTGGGGGGTACGAGTGGGGAAAATAAAGTCTCTCTTAGTGTTCTGCTTTGACCAAACATCTATCCACAGAAAAAGATGATATAAAACAACTTTATCCAATACTGAATTATTACACAAAGACTCAATGCAATGAATATATCAGAGAATTGAGGAACTGGATGGCGGTCTCAGAGAGAGTGGAACCTGAGCTGGGCCCAATGGCTGGAAAGGATTTTAACGGATGCTTATTTTAGGCCCAGAGGAGAGCATGAGTGCTTCAGAGAAGCACTCACAGGAGGCCGTGCAGAGTGCAGCCTCACCAAGCGGTGGCCATGCGGGCCACAGAGGGAGAATACGTGAGATTCTGGAAGGCATAGCATAGCTGGTGCGGGTAACGGGGCTGGATCTGGCATGTGATATAAAGATAATAAATACTACTTCCTGCACAGCTTTCTGTTTTGGAGAACAATAGTTAACCGTATTCAGGAAACCAAAGACTCAGAGAAGTGTGGAGAGGATGACAGAGGGGAGTGAAGGGGCTATCTGTCAGGAAGGCACTGCCCAGGCTCTTGGAGGACTTTCTGACTGTGATTACAGTATCCAGGCATGAACCCTAGGCAGAAATATCTCAGCCCTGAGTCACTCATTTCTAGGTAAATTTTCCCGCTATGGATTTCTCCCTCCTTGTAAATGTTACAGGTCAATGACTCAAGGGTTGTGGTTCAATTATAGCCCTCGTATTAGTCCATTTTGCGTTGCTATAAAGGAATACCTGAGACTGGGCAATTTATAAAGAAAAAAAGTTATTTGGCTCACACTTCTGCGGGCTGTACAAGCATGGTGCCAGCATCTGCTGGGCTTCTGGTGAGACCTCAGGAAACTTGGCCTAAGGGAAGGGGAGCAGGCGTGTCTCATGGTGAGAGTGGAGACAAGAGAGCGGAAGAGGCACCAGGTGTTTTTTAACAATCAGTTTTCCTGTGAACTAATAGAGTGAGAATTCACTCATTACTATGGGGAGGACACCAAGCGATTTGTGAGGGACCCATCCTGATGACTCAAACACTTCCCGTTAGGGCCCACCTCCAATACTGGGGATCACGTTTCAACCTGGGGTTTAGAGGGCACAAGCATCTCAACTACATCATTCTTTAAAAAGACATCCATTTTTATCTGCCTACTGTGGCCAGGTAGTATTTTGTCATCTCTTTCGACCTTCCCACCCATTTCATTCATTCCATTGACAGAAGTGGCTGAAAGTTTGTATTGCAAATGAAAGGGACAGCTTTTACGTACGTTTATTTTCACAATCCAGCTCTTCCAGACATAGCAATCTGCCTGGGGAGTGAGAACTGGTTTTCAGGACCTTTGGGAAACAGTCAGTCACTGAGTGGCATCTCTGAAAGAGGCAACTGGAGAAGAAAACTTGTATCCTGCCCAATTCCCACAACTTCCTCTGGAAGGGGGGGCCTATGAAGATTTAACAGCCCTCAGTGCAGGCAAAGAAAAGACTTTAGCCAATAAAACAAGTGAAGAATGTTGAAGCTCATCAAATGAGAAGTAATCAAACATATGCAGAAAACTACCACTATCCTTCTGTAAGATACAGATAGGACTTTTATTAGGCTCAAGAGCAAGAGTTAGAAGAAACTTCCAAATATCCTTCTAGTGCTTAGGCCTAGTTCAGGATAGAAAAGGGGAGTGAGTTTCAGAGCAAAGATCTGCTTCAAGAAAAAAAAAAGACACACACACACACACACACACACACACACACACACACACACACATATATATATATATATATATATATATATATATATATATATATCTGGGTCTTGAACCTGGTTGAAGAGAGTGAACCTTATATGGGATAACATTAATTTTCAGAGGAACCAATTGTGGAGAAGACAAATTCCATTCCATTCTTGAATGACTTTAGTAACTTAATTCTTCAATGCAAAGCAAGTTCTGGGGAAGATTAGTGGTAAGAGCTCTCTCTGAATGCTAAAATTCTAGCTGGAGTGATGTACCTACAGTTGTATTAAAATTAAGAAGATAAACCTCTGGGATAGGTCACATAACCCGTGGCTCAGGACATTCAACATCTCTGTCTTGGTTTCTCTGAGATGATGTTTAAAGCATGAGCCCTTCCCAAATGTGGTTATGGGATGAATTATGTCTCTTCCAAAATTTGTATGTAGAAGTTCTTATTCCCAGTACTTTAGAATGTGCCAACATTTGGAGATAGGGCTTCTAAAGAGGGAATTAAGTTAAAATGAAGCTGTTAGGGTGTGCTCTTATCCGATGTAACTGGTGTCCTTATAGGAAGAGATTGGGAGACAGGTAAGGACAGGGGAAGTCCATGTGAAGACACAGGGAGAAAACAGCCATGTACAAGCCACAGAGTGAGACCTTAGGAGACGTCAATCCTGCCAACACCTTGATCTTGGACTTGATCATGATTATGAGAGACTCGAAATTGATTATGAGCAAATCAATTTATGGTTTTTGTTTCTGTTGTTGTTTTTCTTTTTCTTTTCTTTTTTTTTTTTTTGAGACGGAGTTTCGTTCTTGTCGCTCAGGCTGGAGTGCAAAAGTGTGGTATTGGCCCATTGCAACTTCCGCCTTCTGGGTTCTGGGGATTCTCCTGCCTCAGCTTCTTGAGTAGCTGAGACTTCAGGCACCTGCCACCACACCTGGCTAATTTTTGTCTTTTTGGTAGAGACGGGGTTTCACCGTGTTGGCCAAGCTGGTCTCAAACTCCTGACCTCAGATGATCTGCCTGCCTTGGCCTCCCAAAGTGCTGGGATTACAGGCATGAGCCACCACGCCCAGATAATAAATTTATGTTTGAAGCTACCCCGTCTGTGGTACTTTGGCAAACTTAACAAGCTAATATACATGCTGAGAGATATTTTTAGATGAATGAAATGCTTCCTGAGAATGCATATTTATTTCTCAGAACAAAAGTTGTTTTATGGATACGATGCATTACTATCATTAAAAGTCTGCACGAACAAGCTTTTCATTTCATTGGATTCTTTTATTTCCATTTTAAAAATAATATGCCAATAATAGGGAGGATTTTATTTTAGGCAAATCTAATCTAAATATTTGTTGAAGTTTGCTATTTGCAAAATGCATCAGAGCCGCTAGGATAGTATGGTAGATATAAAGACAAACATGATACAGTGCTGTACTGCAAGGAGTATGCTGGGAAATGGGCCATCCATTTAGATTCTCAAAGCAACTATCTTGAAGAAACCAATTATAGTGGATGTGGTGAGGCACTGCCATGACCTTCCTTTCAGGATCAAGTCACTCGTTTCCCCAGCTGCCAGGAGCATTGCTGGCTGATGGCTCACAGCTGTTCTCAAGCTGCTAATGAAGACATACCCAAGACTGGGTGATTTATGAAGGAAAGAGGTTTAATTGGTTCACAGTTCAGCCTGGCTGGAGAGGCCTCACAATCATAGCTGAAGGCAAATGAGGAGCAAAGGCACATCTTCTATGGTGGCAGGCAAGAGAGCTCGTGTAGGTTTCATCCCTTTATAAAGCCAGTAGATCTCATACAACTTACTCACCATCCTGAGAATAGCATGGGAAAGACCCACCCCATGATTAAATTACCCCCCACTGGGACCCTCCCACAACACATGGGAATTATGAGAGCTACAATTCAAGATGAGATTTTTGGTGGCGACACAGGTAAACCATATCACACCCTAAGCATTGTCCTCCAAGAACTGAAGTAAACTCCCTCTCCCTGTACCATGCCGAGGTCAGCTTGCATGCAAGGATTGACTGACATTGACCATAAAGGCCTTGCTCAGTTTGGAACATTTCTGAAAGATCATCCAGCTCCAGATCTACTTGTGGAATCAGCAGAGGCCACTGTTGATTGCTTCACAGTTCAACTCTTCCTTTTTCCCCATTTGGCTGATTTCATTCCCCCACAGGTGTTCCCCAAAATACTCCCCAATAAGCATTATGCAGGCAAACCTCCGTTTCTGATTCTGCTCTCCAGGGAATGTGAACAAGGACACCATTCATGGAAAACTATTTGTATTGGTAAGCTAGTGATACTATTTGCTCAGAGTAAGTGGAAGTAATTGATAGTCTGAATGTTTTGCACAATAGACTTTATGTTGAAAATTTTCTAACATTTGACAACATATGATCTATGGAAGTCGGGCTTACTTCAAATAAAATAAGCCACATAACAGCGAAATAAATCTGGGATCCAAATAGTTTGAGTTACTAAACCATTATTAGAGAACTGCCCATCAATGGCCCTGCAGGCTGCTGGAATTACGTAAAGAAAAATATGTTCTGAGCTCTGAGAACACCTGAGTGCCACCAGTCGTGTGACCTAGGGTAAGTCATAACTCTTCCATCCATCTGTTTCTTCACCTGTCACTGTGGACAGAGTGGAAAAGTTGGCTGCAATCAAGCCTGAATCTCCAAGTCCCTGATCTGCTGTTGTCACAAAGAAGAACTGCAGAGAGGATGTTTCCATCATGTCTCTTTTTCACAAGGACTTCTTAGTGCAACAATCTTCCTATGAGGAAGTCAGTCTTGGTGAACTGGGCTGGACCATGCACCTGGGGTCTACAGGGACACCTTTGTCTTTGTGGGGTAAGGTCACATGTCTTTCCTGGTTTCTTTCCTCTCTAATCTTCACCCTCTGTTTCTCAAAGAAAAGTGTTTCAAATATAAATGAATCTTCCTCTGCAGACACTGAAGCAGTGGCTTAAGCTGCAGACTCCTCAAGGTTTCCTGCCTAACCGTGGCTGCCATTTGTAGAGGTCGCATGTCCATGAGGGAGGTGGATGAGCAAATGTTCAACATTCAAAATAAGAACAGCAGCTACTTTGCTGAATGGCTCCCTCACAACGTGAAAACAGCCGTCTGTGACATCCCACCCCGGGGGCTAAAAATGTCGGCCACCTTCATTGGTAACAACACAGCGATCCAAGAGCTCTTCAAACGCATCTCTGAACAGTTTACAGCTATGTTCAGGCGCAAGGCCTTCCTGCACTGGTACACGGGCGAGGGCATGGATGAGATGGAGTTCACCGAGGCCGAGAGCAACCTGAATGACCTGGTGTCACAATACCAGCAATACCAAGACGCCACAGCTGAGGAGGAGGAGTTTGAGGAGTATGTTGAGGAGGAGGAGGTAGCCTAGAAGCTTCCTTTTCTAGGTAAAGGGGGAAGCAGTGTGGATTTCTTTAGTGTGTTCTGATAGCCGTTGTCACTACACACTTGAGTCTTTACATGTCCTCCTGCTGCATTTTAAAGCATTTTCATAGTAAGTAGTTTGGTCTAATAAAACACTTTCATAGCAAAAAAAACAAAACAAAAAAAAAGATTTTTTTTTTTTCCCCAACCTCACTTTATTGGAAGAGGCAGCAGCAGCTGTAGCCCCCGGGCCTAGCCCGGATAGGGGTGGAAAGGGGACTGTACAGAATGTGTTTTAAATGCCAGGAAAGAATTCACTGGTCCCTCCAGTTCACAGGAAGGCTGCCAAGGCTGGAGCCGGAGCCTGAAAGTGGAGATGAGGGGAGGAGGGGATGGTGAGGGAAAGTTATCAGGACCGAGACCCTGGCTACCCTGTCTTAATGTCTTCTCTTGCCTAAATGGGCTCCTCCTGTTTCTTTTATTCCCTCACAAGCTGCGGGGGCTTCCCTCGGCTTTCTGGGCCTCTGGCCTTGCTAGTGAAACTGCTCCCCATCTCTGTACAAAAGAGAGAGCCACGACCTCTGCCCCTCTGGGGTCCAGCGGGCACTTGGGTGCGGGTGGTCCCTCTGGAAGTCACTCTGCTCCTCTGGCCGGGTCTCCTCCTCCTCCTCCTGGTCATATACCCTTGAGCACCAAGAGTCCGTCCATTTAGGCCGCCTCCAGGAACGAGAGGGTCCACCCCACCGGCAGGCTCTCAGAGGGCGGGGTGGCGCCTTGGGTGGGGCAGGCTGGAGGTGGGTGGGTTTTCTACTGGAGTTTACTGGAGTTGCCTCTGAACCATGCTCTCTGTCTAGAATCTTCACCTTAGCCCTTACCTCTGCACTGTTATACTGAGGCCTTTTACTTACCAGCTCAGCTTTGCCCACTTTTGAGCCAATGTCAATAATTTGGAAAGCATGCTCAGAGTTTCATGCACACAGTGATTGGGACCTGGGATTTGCTACCATCAACCTGGTTTAGGCGAACCGAAGGTGAGCCCCGGGCTCTGGATGTCTTCAGCCTGTTGTTGTTCCCTTTATTTCCTGTATTGGCAGGGTCTGATTTACTAAACAGCTATCATGTTGTGGCTAGTGTCCTGATCTGAGTTGTACCTTACAGGACCAGAGCTCTCACACCTCCTCTGGGCAGCTTCATCCTTGGATGCTGTCCCATGCCCTGGCTGGGCTTTGCTTCATTGGTCATCCCTCTGAGATCACTTGTCCACACCTGCTCCTGGTCTGGCTGCTGTACCCTGTGAAGTATCCTAGACCCCCTAGGCAGTGCTCATGGCCCTGTCAAGCCCTGGCTACTCCGCCTCTCTGGACTCTGGGAGTTGGGTAGCTGCTCACTCCCCATAGGACCAGTCCTCTAGGCAAGTGGGCTCAGTCTAGCTTCCTCTCCATTCCCATAAGCTTGTTTTGCTGAAGTCTCAGAAAACTTCAAGGAAGAGCTACTTCTTTCTTCCAATCCCCAGCCTTGCCATCCCCTGCTGCTGCTATCCAGCCCTGTTGCCAAAAGAAGCTAAGTAGAGAAGATCTTCACATAAAAAGTCCCCCCAATGGGGTTAAACAAACCAATTATTTCATTTATTGTTTAATGTTTTAATCAATGTGTATATAAGGGTCTCCAATATGTAATGATCCTGCTTAGACCCCAATCTCCGAAGAAATGTTTTCTCCAGCTAAGATCACTTCATCTTAAACTTCAGGATCAACCTTGCCGTAGGCTTTAGGATTGATTTTGACCTTTATCAGAAGGAAGTATGGGAAGTCTTTTTCATTATGAGCTGGGTGATTGCATATCTGATTAAACTCCTTGCTTTTTAAAATCATGTGCCTCAGTTGTAACTGGGCTTCCACCATTCTCCTGGAACCAACTTTCCATATTGTACCAGCCCTAATAATGACCCTGTACCATGTATTGAAGCACCTTTCTGATTTTAAGTCCATATAAATCTGAGCCTTCACCTTGCTCAAGTCTTTCCTTTTCCCCGGGGTCTCATTCGCAGATCCCTTCCTGACTTGTGCAGGTGTCTGCTCCCAGACATCTTAATCACATACTCGCCCGCTTACTAGGAAAATCTTCTTATCTCCTGCAGGAGCTCCTTCTTGCTCAACATTTGCTTGAAATGCCATCTATTTCCTATTGTGTATTTCAAAATACATTTATTGATGCAATGTTTATTGAGCATCTTCACTAGATTTTAATTGTGAACAAAACCTAGTCCCTGTCTTCCAAAGAGCTTGCAGTCTACAGAAGGAGAGAGACAAATATGAGGAGCATATAACTGAAGAACATTATCTGACTTGCCAATTTATCTGCACAGGAATCCTGTGAGGGAGACATTACTGTCTCCACTTTAATAGATGTGGAAAGTGAGGCTCAGATAAGTGAATTGGTTGGTCTGGGCCACACAAACAGGAAGAAGCAGAGTTAGGTTTAAAACTATGCCTAACCTTGTGCAATGATGAATCTAAGTACACTTTGTCAATATACACAGAAACAATCTGCCAAATTTAGATTGGAATTAAATTGAATTTGCAGACAGTTAATATCTTTGCAAGATTTAATTCATTAACATAGTTTATCTTTCGATCTTAGTCTTTTGGTCAATGAGTTTTCTTTAATTTCTCCACGTTTTGTAGTTTTTGGTGTGTCTTGTATATTTTTTCACTTTTAGGTATTTGGTGTTTTTTGATAGTTTTGTTATTATTATTTTTTTTTTAAATTTATTTTATTGCATTTTAGGTTTTGGGGTACATGTGAAGAACATGCAAGATTGTTGCATAGGTACACACATGACAGTGTGATTTGCTGCCTTCCTCCCCATCACCTATATCTGGCATTTCTCCCCATGCTATCTCTCCCCAGCTCCCCACCCACTGCTGTCCCTTCCCCATTTCTCCCAACAGACCCCAGTGTGTAGTGCTCCTCTCCCTGTGTCCATGTGTTCTCATTGTTCAACACCCGCCTATGAGTGAGAACATGCGGTGTTTGATTTTCTGCTCTTGTGTCAGTTTGCTGAGAATGATGGTTTCCAGGTTCATCCATGTCCCTACAAAGGACACGAACTCATTGTTTTTGATGGCTGCATAATATTCCATGGTGTATATGTGCCACATTTTCCCTGTCCAGTCTATCATCGATGAGCATTTGGGTTGGTTCCAGGTCTTTGCTATTGTAAACAGTGCTGCAATGAACATTCGTGTGCACGTGTCCTTATAGTAGAATGATTCATAATCCTTTGGATATATACCCAGTAATGGGATTGCTGGGTCAAATGGAATTTCTATTTCTAGGTCCTTGAGGAATCGCCACACTGTCTTCCACAATGGTTGAACTAATTTACACTCCCAACAACTGTATAAAAGTGTTCCTATTTCTCCACATCTTCTCCAGCATCTGTTGTCTCCAGATTTTTTAATGATCATCATTCTAACTGGCGTGAGATGGTATCTCAATGTAGTTTTGATTTGCATTTCTCTAATGACCAGTGATGATGAGCATTTTTTCATATGTTTGTTGGTCTCCTGTATGTCTTCTTTTGTAAAGTATCTGTTCATATCCTTTGCCCACTTTTGAATGGGCTTATTTGTTTTTTTCTCATAAATCTGTTTTAGTTCTTTGTAAATTCTGGATATCAGCCCTTTGTCAGATGGGTAAACTGCAAAAATTTTTTCCCATTCTGTTGGTTGCCGATTCACTCTAATGACTGTTTCTTTTTTGTTATTTTAAAAGTACTAATTTTTAATTGTTTTTCTGTTATGTGGAAAAAAACCCCTCATGTTTGCGTATTGCTCCTACTTCTAGCAGCCTTGCTAAATTTACTTACATTTTCTAATTGCTTATCTGGAGATCTTTCTGTATATACAATCTAGGGTTAAATGAATAATGACAACCCCTCACTTTTGAATACTCACATCTTTATTTTTCTTGGCTTACTATTCTTACATCATTTAATTAGCTGAATAAATAATGAATAATTAGGATGTCATAGGATATACTTTTCTCTGACTAATTCCTCAAGTTTCTGTTTTCTTTACTAGAATAAAACTGAAATTTTTTCAGCAATGACCCTTAACTAGTCTACACTCTGCTGTCAGACAGTTAGGAGTGCGTGCCACCAGAGTTGCTAAGAGTTGGATCTGTTTAGCTTTTGAAGAGCTTCCCTTTGTGATTAATTTATGAATAAGGATTTCATTCTTTTCTCCGTAACTCACAGAAGAAGACATGTCTTGTTAGTATTGCCTTGTATGTATTTCTTTATGCACAAACAACACCTTAAAAACAAGAGAGAGAGAAAGAGAGAGAGAGAGAGAGAGAGAGAGAGAGAGAGAGAGAGAGAGACTGAGTTTGTTGAAAAGCTTTTCTAAGCCTTACGGTCCTATTTTGCAGCTAATACCGCCATAATGCCTTGAGAACCTCTTTAGTGTCCCTACACTACTGTGAGGTTTATGATGTCACTGTAGGAACTAGAAATTAAGTCATGATTAACTTTGGATAAATAAAATCCTTGCTTTTTTTCTTATGCTGAAGATGCCAGCAATTATTTCTACGTGAGAGAGGCTCACAAAGTAGCACCCAGATCCCAATTCAAAGAGCCATACTATTTGGTACCCATACTATTTAGTAAATATTCTACTTGAGCTTGTCTTTGGCTGGGTACCAAATGCTGATACCCTATCCCAAATGATAATCCTGATATTCACCCTTTAAGATTTTTTTCTTGTATTTTTATTAGTGGAGCAATTGTGGAAATGTGGAAGATTAAGATTCTTACACAGTATAAGTTGTATAATTCAGATTTTTAGATCTATGGTATTAGACATATACTCACCCAAATAACATCTTGACTTCATAACTGCTATTTATTGCCATGAAAATATGCAAAAAATGCACATAAACACTTCTTTCCATGAGGAAGAGGGTAAAGGTTATAGATAAAAAACTAGGACTGGTGGCTGGGAA